ACTTCACCTGTAATAACATTGTATCTAGTGACATAACTTTCTGTTAATATTATGTTGGTATATCTGGCACCTGCCTACACATAACAGGTACATACCTCACCTGTAATGACATTGTATCTAGTGACAGAACTTTCTGTTGAAATTACGTTGGTATATCTGGCACCTGCCTACACATAACAGGTACATACCTCACCTGTAATGACATTGTATCTAGTGACAGAACTTTCTGTTAAAATTACGTTGGTATATCTGGCACCTGCCTACACATAACAGGTACATACCTCACCTGTAATGACGTTGTATCTTGTGACAGAACTTTCTGTTGAAATTACGTTGGTATATCTGGCACCTGCCTACACATAACAGGTACATACCTCACCTGTAATGACGTTGTATATTGTGACATAACTTCTTGTTTATATCAAATCTTCTCCTTTTCTTGAAGTTGTTTGGCAATACAAGTTCTTCAATATATCGTAAACATGAACTGAATTTATTTTTCAACAATTGCGGAACAAGTTATTCACCTTATGCTAATCACGCTTGTTGGCCCGGATTGAAGCGTGCGAGGGATCTCACTGTAGGAGGATCAGGTAGATTACCCGTTACCATTTGTGTCCGTTCAGGGAATTGAACCCGGACGTCTTGCTGAAAGCCAGTGCGTTACCAATGCGCCACCAGACTACTAGCATATATTAAATGATGCTCGTATCTTAGTGGATGGTGTTCGATCACCACCAACGAGATACAAGCTTAGTCACAGTCTTGTTACTGACGTTGTGTAATATATCTGCATTTTATAGAAATTTTTTTTTATGGTTTTGATAACAATGGACTCGAAATTCATTTAGACACGGATATGATTATATTATGTATACGAGGTGATTTGTCTTCTTGGCGTGCATACGCTGTTATAGGTTTGGTCTATATAGCATGTGATAAAACTGTTTATGTTCCCTCCATCAATGTCTTTGAAGTGTGGGGAATGAATCACATTTCAGAGCATGAGTTAATGTACAGTCTGGTAATAATGGCAGATCTCATTGCTATCACAGCAAGGTCATACCTGGCTTATCATATAACGCAACAGAACGTCAACATTTAAAGTGTTCAGATCATAAACCGTGAAATTCTGAACATAAATAAGAAATCATTTTTGATGGAACTAATTTAAAGGATACTTCATTTTATAGATTACAAACTGGTTCGAAGATATATGAAATCGAAGGACGATCTAAGAGACCATTTGTAATACCGAACAGGCGTTTGAAATCAAATTGAGAGTTCACATTAAACTATTACAAAGTTAAACGTGCTGTAATTGAACACTTATGTCGGCCATTTCGTGATCGAACTGAAGATAATACCAATAACAAGTAAACATTACACAAAAACTGCCCGTTTGTACACAAGTCAATTCAGTCAAACTTTTGTTCGTTGTGTTGCATACGTAGCTGTTGTTACTAAAATTATGAGAGATAAACATTAGGCTTGTTCCTGACCATACCATGGAAACATAACGTGGCCTGTCCTTGCTCCATCTTGTGGACATCTATATGAATAACGAAAGGTCCGCTATTCTAAACCGCACTAAACCTACTCGCTGCCAGGTAAATCTACATTTAAAAGGCAAATTACTCACAGAGCTATGCACAAGAAAAACATTTCCTTTATACACAGTTTTTAAGCTGGATTGATTGAAGTAATCTATTTGTAAGTTCTTGCTCCACCCGAATTATATATTCTATTGCACAAGTGGTATGATAAAGGCGACATAGAGCACGCCGTTAACCTAGTCTCACGTATTCCACTATCGTGCCGCATTATGTAACAGGTCGTGTATACACTACAGAATATTAAAACGCAGACAGGCGAAACTACCATCAATATTTCTATTCGAATAACATACCGTCTATTAATGTCGTTTTATTAGTTTGGACGATCAATTGCTAATAAAACACGGCCTGTATCCATCCTCGTATGTCAGCAATAATCTATATAACCCGATTTTCCATTGGTTATACATGCATAAAGCTTCAAGTTCGATGTAGTTTCGTCAATATCGGTTTACAATCAAATATTGCAAATATGTTTTTTCTCTGATGAAGGATTTTTTGTCGAGTCGATTTTCAGGGTTTTTTTCATCTTAGAACAGTGTTATTTGTGTAGATAGCATTGAAATGATATATCTATTTGTATTTTTTCTCAAGGTATTGGTGTCGAACAAATCTATTAGCATTCAAAGGCACGTCACAAGAACGTGGTAAAGGGGGACGCTATTCTTCCTAGTTTACAATACTTTATGATAACAGTTGGTAGAAACTGCTGGTGGACTTCAGTCACCGTCTGCGGTAACCTGCGTGCCACTTTTCATTAACTAATAATTTAAATAGCGGCACGGCTCAGAATAACACATGTTCTTCGTTTTGAAATAACCAAATACCCAAAACTATGATGATTGATTTTTTGGGGAAAAACACCTCCCCGTGTAGATTTGTGGGGATAATACACCTTAACATGTAGAGTTTTGACAATCATTTTGACCTGTCTCCATGGTCCACAGTCGCCTCCTAACACCACTGCTACCCCTATACTGTTCACATGTCCCAGTTAATTCGATATTCAAAGGCTTGTTAATAACATCACGTGAAAGATGTCGACAGGTGATAGATAAGTTGACAAAACAGGATTTTGAGAGATGAATGTTTCTGGAAGCTATCAATAAGGCATATGGTCGCCACCGTTATTTCCTTGAAAAAAGGTTGATTTTCTTGTGTGTTCAATGCTCATTGGTGTATCTGGTGGTTTGGTTGTTCTTAATCTTGCTCCTTTATTGGAACTTAACATTACATACTTGCATAGACTAAGGTATACAAGGAGGGTGTCTTTGATGAAGCAGAAACTCTTCTGAAACATCTTGTCTTACTGTTATTGTACATTTTTCCAATGGTCTTCGTGTAAATCTTACTCTTGTGAATGGTTTGCCCTTGTTCAATATATTTTGAGGTAGGATATGTTTGGTGAGTCCTAGAAGAACAAAGCAGCTGTATGATGCAGCATCACTGACGAATCTCAGAAGGACAAAGCAGCTGTATTATGCAGCATCATTGACGAGTCCTAGAAGGACAAAATAAGTGTATGATGTAGCATCATTGACGAGTCCTAGAAGGACAAAGCAGCTGTATGATGTAGCATCACTGACGAGTCCCAGAAGGACGAAACAGCTGTATGATGTAGCATCACTGACGAGTGCTAGAAGTCAAAGCAGCTGTATGAAGCAGCAACAGCTGTATGATGCAGCATCACTGACGAGTGCTAGAAGGACAAAATAAGTGTATGATATAACATCATAGATGGACGAAACAACACGGTGCAGTTTGATTTATCATTTAAGTCAACTATATCTGACTATAATTGTGTGTCTTTTAGACAATATTCGAGATTGGAATGGGTAGATACTGCAGATACTGCTAGTGTCTGAGTCATTTAGATCCCTAAAATATCACTGACGACTCCTAGAGGGACGAAAAAATTGTAAGATATTTAAAAAAGGAAGCAATCCCAAATCAAAGTCGACAACATGAATGCAATTCATGGGAACTAAATATGAAGCAGAATGATTCCTCTTCTTTAGTGACGTCATGTCAATATTGGTCAAAAATTACATTTCGCCACGTTGATAGAATTAAAATTATTATTAAAAAACGTTATCTGAAAAAAGTGAATTGGATACCACCGAACATGGCAGAAACAGGATATATCTAACATTGCGATAAACTTATCTGTATTACTTATGAAACATTATTAAGTTTCAACATACATAGATATTTTGTGATGTTGGAAGAGTTGGTAAATGTTTTGCTATGTGTGTGTAGAATTGACAGCTTTTACTTTGTAGATATAGATGAAACATCAAAGTCCAATCAATGTCAAACGGTGTCCTTACTAATGAGTTTTTGTTGTATGTAGTAATACCTTCGATGGTGTGTATGACAATGAAATCTATAATGAACACAAAAATGTTTAGACGAACAAAGGCTCGTAATGCATATTGGAATATTTTTTCTACAGCAGTAACCACTAGTACATATATGTACTATGAATGTTTTATAGAAAGCCAATCGGGCGCTGTTGGTAATTAGTTTAAACATCGTTAGTGTCACTTCAGCAGGAATTGTTCCATTAACCCGACAAATGTCATACTTATTTCAGGTCAATAATGAGTTTGTAAAAACAACAACATCTGTGTTTAAACATTCATTGCTTCTTACTGGACAAGGTCTCGTTAAAAGCAGTAGTATGTACTAATTAATAATATAATGCCATCAGAGTTCTGGGTCAGTGATAAACAATATAAGCTCATTTGTTTAGTCTCTAGTCCGTCAAAGTAAACGTTATGGTTACCGTTCTGAAACGATACCTCTGCCCTTGACACATCGATTGAGAATTCCGATCCTGAGTGTATTATACATCGGTATTGTTTTCCAGATTATATTTCTGGTTTGTTTTTCTGTTTTAAATCCAAAATTTTACTAGCTCCATTTATGTCAATAAATATCGGCTGTCTGAAGTAATTAATGTGTTAGTTTACTGAGTAAAAGTCTTTCTTAGACAGGGAAAAGAAAACATTGTGAACTATTTTTTTTTCTATTTACTAACTGGATAAGAACGACATCAGATCGCGACACGTGCATGCATTTTTGACGTTTCAATCGGTTGTTTGCTCAATCGCCTCCTTTGTTTCTATACTTTACGTCCCTAGCATCATTAGATAGTTCTACAAGGAGGAAACAACTGCATGATCCAGTTCTATTCTTTGTTTTGCCTTGTTGTATCTAATTATAATTCTGAAGTATTAAAATGTGTTATTATTTCAATAATGAATTTCCACTGTGCAGTTCTTCGATAAAACATGTGATTGTAAACTGTTTCTGAAACAGTTAGTGTTCGTCCTGTAACTGGTAATTCCAATGTAACTGACCACATCATTTGTTTTACAGGCGGCTAGCGATGGCAGGAAAAAAGCCACAGTTTTGCCTCCTCTCCCAATTGAACGGGAACCTACCTTCCAACGGCAGCCCAGGACTTTGCAGACTCTCCAAGGCAACCCGGAGGAGGTACGTATCTTACTGGTAAATGATCTTAAGTAGGCAACCAGGAAGCTTACAAATATTGTGATGTGTATAATCGTGATTAGAATCCGTAAAGTTGTCTATAAATTTACTAATGCTTTCTTAATCAAGGAAGTGAAAGAAGGATGTTTGTGAAAAATGTAGCGAAGCATGTTAAATACATAATTGAAAGATTAATGATCAGAATGTTTTATTTCTCCCCTGATAAATATACAGACATTTAAATACTAAATATTTATAAAGTTTTCACTGTAAACTTGTTTACTTAAAACCAAAAACTGCTGTATACTATTTAGGTATTAATTAATCACATGCACGTGTTATTAAAATGTGGTTAAACTAGAAACTTGCAGGTTAATACAATTAAAAGATAAGCCACTATATTGTACCTAATGAGTGTGTATATACTGATGTATTTGATAATTCGTGTATATATGATATACGTGACGTGTTTACTGTATATAACACTTTCAGGCTGGAGAGAGCCACTGGCAGATACAGAGCAAGAAAGTCAGTATGGACGTGGACAAACGTATCGTGAACCACCTCAGGGTAGGTACCACAAGGCCCAAACGTATAGTGAACCACCCCAGGGTAGGTACCACAAGGTCCAAACGTAGTGAACCACCTCAGGGTAGGTACCACAAGGTCCAAACGTATAGTGAACCACCTCAGGGTAGGTACCACAAGGTTCAAACGTATAGTGAACCACCTCAGGGTAGGTACCACAAGGTTCAAACGTATAGTGAACCACCTCAGGGTAGGTACCACAAGGTTCAAACGTATAGTGAACCACCTCAGGGTAGGTACCACAAGGTTCAAACGTATAGTGAACCACCTCAGGGTAGGTACCACAAGGTCCAAACGTATAGTGAACCACCTCAGGGTAGGTACCACAAGGTCCAAACGTATAGTGAACCACCTCAGGGTAGGTACCACAAGGTTCAAACGTATAGTGAACCACCTCAGGGTAGGTACCACAAGGTCCAAACGTATAGTGAACCACCTCAGGGTAGGTACCACAAGGTTCAAACGTATAGTGAACCACCTCAGAGTAGGTACCACAAGGTTCAAACGTATAGTGAACCACCTCAGAGTAGGTACCACAAGGTCCAAACGTATAGTGAACCACCTCAGGGCAGGTACCACAAGGTCCAATGTTAGTGTTCAAAAGCAAATTAAAAAATATAAACCAAAGTAGCAAATTTTAAAACTCATATGTTTAACACGTGCTACGTAACTACGATTATACTAAAATTGTTAACTAACTTTTTAAGAGCTAAGGTCTTCCATTTATACTCGATTTGACTTTTCATCGGATTCGTTTATGAGTTCGAGAGTTTTATTTTGTCGGACTTTTTCACCAGATATATTCATTGGTTTGTGTAACATAGGGAGGTAAATAAAGATTATGTTTTATTTCGTTGAATCTCACGTGACATGTTGTTTTTTTGTAACAGAGGAAGATGAACAAACGACTACAACAGCGTCTGACAGCTCTGGACCCCTCCTCTGACGAGACGTACAATAATGACGGTCAGGAGTGGGCTAACGCCAAAAAGCCCGGCAGTGTGAAGACGGTAAGTGATCTTCAGGTGACGGTATATATGTATAAAAGTGTACAAACACATCAGTAAGGTTGGGCATATTCAACGCGGGAAAAGAATATCACGGAGCCTCCGAAACGGAAGTGTCTAAATTACTGTATCAGTACTTATTATATATGTAATGGTATATGAGTTATAAAAGCTGAAGTGTCATGTCATATACAAGTTTGAAACGCAATAACGAAGTCGTCTAGCCTTTTCGAGTAAACAGATACCAGCATGTATTGTCTTCTTTTCAGTCGACAAGCTCCGGTTACTTACATTAATGCAACTACCTCATACCTCTTCCAAATATCTGAATATTCTTAAAAATTAAAAGTACACTATCGGAGAATGTTCAGCTTGTTTTAACAAGGTATTTGTAGAGAGCAATCACACAATTGAAGTTCATGATTACGACCTGTTTTATTAACTGGCCAATAGTGTCTGATCAAATGTGACACGATAATCCAAAAGAAAGTAATATGATAAAATCCTTCTGATGTTATGAGGATGAGTTGTGTATCTCAGACATATTGTTACCTGTGTAACTTTTATATTACAGCCGAGGAATCATGAAAACGAACTATTTAACAAGTATTCTGACACTGGTGAAAAGTTAACGGTTAAACAAAGTCAACGAAAACCGTCCCTTAAAAAGTCAAAACACAACGGACATACCAACGGTCACGTGAACGGCCATGAAGGCCCAACAAGGGAGGCAATGAAAAGGGACAATCATGTCAGTCAAAACGATACAACAACATCTCGTCCCGCACGTGTGCCGTCTGTCACTATTGCTGTAGAGGAAGTGTCACAACAAAATGGTGTCGACCTTATCCCCAACTCTAAAAAAGTGAAAGAAAATGGCGTATCAACGGACACGTCAGGTAAAACGTCTACGAAAGACGGAGACCATTCTGAGAAAACGGATGGAGCGGAGGCTAACGAAGCATCTGACGTAGAGGAGGATGACGACGACGAAGAACTGTTTGATTTAACAAGACTTAAAACAAAACTGGGAGAGAGTCCCGAACCAGAAGAGATAGAAAGTTTTCGGAAACTTAGTGTCAGTCCCGTTCAAACTCCGTGCGTGTTACGACCTTTGACCCGTGGAGATTCTCAGTATGCCATTGGAGACAGAATGACGGATATTCTCAGAGGACATGTGCACCGGATGTGTCAGCCGGAGAGTACAGTAATTCCGATATATATCAGTTCCGGTTTTACAGGTAAGGGTATACTGTTTACAGTTTAAGGGACAATATACATATCACATGAAGTTTTAAAACTCTTTTCACGAATGCCGTGTCGTATATCATTATTTGTGTGCACTGGAGTTCATGTTCGGTAAATGAAAGCTATATATTTATAATTCTTCAGACACGTTGGCAGAGAAGACTGCATTTCAAGAGAAGGTTTCGTTAGACCTGAGGGAATATTGTGCGGCACGAGGGTACGAGATAGAATTATATGATCTACACTGGGGTATGACAGACACTATAACGGACGATCACTCCTTTCCTGACACCTGTCTCACCTCTATCAACAAGTGTCTGGAATCTAATCCTGGCGTCAACTTGCTCGTGAGTATTACAAAATTTCATTACGATATCCTGAAAAAACAGGATCTTCATGAATGTGTGATTAAATCACTCAGTAGCGTATGTTTATCGGCAAAACGTTTCTCGTGTATGATGTGTATGTATCTCATAGTACTGTATCGGTAATGTATACATTCCTATTCATTCTTTCTCATTCATGCAGCTTTTCTTGGGGGAAAAGTATGGACCGTACATTCTGCCATCTAAAATACCAGTGGAAGAGTTCAACGCTCTTTACGACTTTGTCCAGGACTTCCGTAAAAGAGAAATTGACCTCATACAAGAACAAATGGATGATATATCGTCCGCACGAGCTGAGCGTGAGCGTCAGCGTCAGGATGCCGAAAGCATCCTCACTGATGCCACAGACCACTCAAGGGAAAAGGAAGGCAGTGCGAGACAAGTGGGATCGGGCGTGTCATCACAAGCAAAGACTAGACGACAAAACGCCGATAGGGCGAAGGCCGAGGCACAGACCATCAAAAACCTTCAGGAGCAGGAAGCAGCTTTGGCTGATCCCGAAATACTCAAGGAATGGTACAGTCTAGATGAGAACTGCATACCCCCAGTATACAAACTGGATAGCATCAGGTAAGTGATTCCTCGGGTTTTGGCCCACATCGAGTCTCATCAAACGATTTATCCTGATTCCATTTTCTTTCAATCTATTCAAAATGGATCTAACTATCGTTTTTGATTTCAGTACACACTACAGAGATTTTGCAAATCCAAAAAAGAGGGATGCAGCCAAGAACTCATTTACAGAGGTCGCAAAGAAGATACGTAGGATATTTGATGAATTTACACCAATGGTGATCACGGATCCCTTTGCAAGGAAGAAATATTTCACCACTAGTGAGTACGCTTTGAGACAAATATCTTGGATACCCAATGTAACACTTTGTCCTACTATTGTCATCATCCAGAAGTCTTTCAAAGTACTTCAGTAAAGAAGAATGTTTCGAAACTTGCAAAACAGATGAAAGGGAAACCACCTGGTGTCAAAATGTCATTTTTATGATCTTCAATTTTTAATGTTCATCATCTGGTAATGTCCATTGATCTAACAAACTTCTGATTCCTATACAAACTACTGGACGAAAGATTAATTAGTACATTTAAAATCTTAAATAAAATACGATACGAAAACCTTATATTAAGAATAATTATGTCTGTGCGATATAAAACCGAAAGGAACATTTTTGAAATACAATGCTTAGCTTTCCTTAGAACGGTAGATGTACTTACGGATTGTCATACGTCTTCTCCTATAGTGATTGGCCTTGAGATAGAGCATGGTATCCTAGAGACGGACGCCGTTGACAACCACTGTATTGTGGTTCAGCGAACCATCACAGACATTAGTCGTAACCTCCATGATAGTGCAGCAGTTGACTTCACGGACATAAGCCATGAGAACGCTCACGCGCTAGACAAAGCACAATCATCTATCATCCAAGACCTCAGATTAGAGACACTGCCAACAAAGGTAAGAAACTGTGAGATACTTTCAGATGATCAATTCATTACACAACGCAATAAAGATTAATGATATCTTAAACTGTATCAGATTGTAATGGTAGATCATTCAAAATTGGAAAGTTGGGAAGGGTAGGGGATGAAATGGATAATCAGGAAAATTGGATATGATTAACACTTGTTCTGTTATTTCTAATGATGATGGATTTAAATCTTTACCATCTCTACGTGTCATGACATTCCATTGATAGGTGGGAGTGTCGAATATATTACCGTACGATATCGAATGGGCAGCAGGAGGAGTCATAGTCGGAGGTCATAGGACACACCAACATTATATAGAACGCATGTGCAAACAGGTTACGGAAAAACTAATGAGACAATTATGTACATATTTCGAAGAAAGGAAACGAAAAGTGGATAGCAAAACTAAACTGTTTGACGAGGTGTCACAGCACGTGGCTTTTTGTCACGAAAGGTAATAATATAACTTTTCTCCTAATATCATAAGTAGAGGTATATGCTTTGCTTGTGATTTCTCTTTGTTTCGTGGGGATCTGGATAATTTATTTACTTTTTACAATTAACTTAGTTTAAAGGAATACAAGTTAATGTAACCATGTCTTTATATATCATACTTTATAACCAAAATAAATCATTCGAAAGAAATCCAGTATTTTTATTTATGCGTCAGTGCTTTGGACTGTGAAAAATCCGGGATTTAATGACTTGATTTCAGCGAGTAAAGTATACTGCATATTGTTACATAGGATTCAAGACATTGCGCAAAAAATGGAAACGACATACTTTTTAAAACAGAAAGGAGAGATTTTTGTTTCTGTGTCAACACTCTTTGATTGGTCGATCCCTAGTTTAACTTTATATTTCTGAAGATCTCCCACTGTTAGTCTCTATTATTTTACCTTCTTTTACAGAACGAAGCACTTTCAGGGCAGGAAGGAGCTTCTACAGCTGGTGAAGTCTTACCTCAGATCCAGATGTCCGTCTCCGCTAGTCCTTTATGGAAAAGCAGGCTGTGGTAAAACTGCTCTCCTATGTAAGACGGCCAAAGAAACTCACAAGTGGTTCAGAGGGTAAGGTGTTTTCAAATACCAAAAAACCGGCGTGTTATTTTCAACAGCGATGTGATTCAAAAGTTGTCTAATAATGAAAATATCTGATAAATCTTAAGTAGCCACGAAAATTATAACCTAGTTAACGTTTTCCTGTAAAATATCGCTGGTGACAGAACACATCACTAATAACCAATATCTAACCGTTTCAGACAGAACATGAGCGTCCTACTCCGGGTAATAGGGATCACTACCAGCTCAACCAACGTGCGCTCCCTACTACGTGAACTCTGCTTACAGATGTGCCATGTGTTCGGCACCAATGAAGATGACGTCCCCACGGTGAGATTTTTCTGCTTATATTTACATGCAACTTTTCTTTAATTTGCTCTTAGCATGTTACCTGTGTCTGCCATATCATATCAGAATATTACGTATTCGTTGCACTATCAATCACGTATATTTTGTTACTATTTCTGAAGAAATACAGAGGAAGTGTCTGAAAACAAAACACATTGTACTTCAACATGTATTTTAGTTTTAGATAGAGAAGACGAAATGTAGCGAGCCTTGACTGAAATAATAATGTAATTTTGTATTCTTCGAACAGGACTTTAAAGGTCTAATGAACGACTTCACCCGCCAATTGTCTCTAGCGACACCTGAAAACCCGATTGTCATCATACTGGACTCGCTAGATCGTCTCTCAGGTGACCTACTTTATTGTTACTGCCTTCGTGCAATCTGCAAAGTAGAAAATAAATAAAAAAAAACCCACACACATTTTCGTTCATAAAAGCTATGAAACAGATGATGAAGGAATACTAAGAGTATAATATGATAACTGTACATCGGATTTCAGGTACCTTAAAACAGTTCGTTATAGTGTTGCACTAAATTATGATTTATAAGTGGTATGTACATCACTATTCTAAAACAATCTAAAATCCATTTTCAGATGACCATGAAGGAAGAAAGCTTAACTGGTTACCGAAGGAACTGCCAAAGAATGCCTACATCATTGTCTCCACAAATCAAGATGATAAATACGAATGTTTTGACAGTCTAAAGAAAGGCATCCCGGAGACTTCGGAGGCCTATATTGAAATTCCCGAACTTCCAGAACATGATGCAATAACAATCCTTGAACATTGGCTTAACAAAAGTGACAAAACCTTTACTGATGAGCAATTTGAGTTTCTCGTAGAATCATTCAAGAAATGCCCGATGCCACTTTTTCTGAAGATCGCATTTCAAGATGCACTCTCTTGGACATCGCTGACACCCCTTGACCAAATCAAATTTGGAGAGAATGTGAGAAAGCAAGCCTCTTTCAAATTTGGGAAACTGGAAACAAAACATGGCGAGCCACTCGTACGCAGGGCCCTTGGCTACATCACCGCATCACGGAATGGATTAACGAACAATGAAATAGTGGATATTCTGTCGCTAGATGACGCTGTTATGGATGACGTTATGTCCGTGTACCACCCGCCTCGCCGCAGGTTTCCAACCATCCTATGGGTTCGTCTTCGTGACGACTTACACGAATATATCACTGTAATAAAATCACAGAAGATGCGTACATTGCAGTGGGCACACGCGCAGTTTAAAGAGGCTGCAGAGGAAAGATACCTGCTTGCTCGGGACAAGGCCGCATCCTATCACAAAGCAATGGCAGAATATTTCTTGGGAACGTGGGCTAAAAAGGCTAAGCCCTATCCCGGAAATGACAAAGGGATGTTGAGATATGTTTCTCCGCAACCCCTTTACTTCGAGCCTGAAAATTCCATCAAAGATGGATCAGATCGAGTGTACAACTTACGCAGAGTCAACGAACTACCGCATCATTTGTTGAATTCTTCTCAGACGGAACTGTACAAATCTCAGGGACTGTGCAATTTCGAATGGGTTCTTGCAAAATTGTGCGGGACTTCTCTCCGAGCACTTGTAGAGGAATATCAGATAGGCCTGCAGGTTGATCCAACCGACATTGACCTGAAAACGCTTTCGGACACAATCCAGTTATCAGCAACAGCACTTACAAACGATCCACGACAGTTGGCCTCACAAATGATAGGTCGTTTGCATGGAATGATCGCTCGAGATATTCCAGCAACTGCAGGTGATCCTCCGAAATATCCTTACTTGCATTCATTTTATGATCAAGCGAAGATGCCCTCCATGCTCTCTCTAATACCATCTATTTCGTGTTTGTCAGAGCCAGGCGGTATTCTGTTTGACTTGTTATCTGGACATTCTGAACCAATTACAGCTATGACACTGACCACGGAAGGCCTGAAGGCGTTGACGGCATCGGCAGATAATACGATAAAGCTATGGAATATTCGGACAGGCCGTGTCATGAAAACCATAGACGGTACTGGAACAAATGTTAAATCCATTATACCAGCGCTGAACAATGCTTTGGTTGCCACTGTGGAAGGAAGCGTCATACGCGTGTGGAATATTCGCTTCAGTCAGTGCGTTCTGACCATCGACCATTACCTTGATCCTCCCGTACTCGGGACGGCGGGGGAAGGAAAGTACCTCGTGGCTCTTTTTGATGGAATCAATATAATGAGAACATGGAATCTGAAGAAGCAAATCATGCCCATGGTCTGCGAAGCGAGGATAGAAGACAACAGTGTGTACAAAGACAATTCTCTATTGATTGCCGCAAGTTCGTTTGATGACAAAGTGCTACATGCATTCAGAGGAGCTAATATGGCTACTGTACAACATGCAAGATCAGGAAAGGTGATTCATACACTCAAATGCAACGAGAAATCTTCGTCTGCTGTTAGCCTTGGAGTGACAAGGGACTATTACATTGTTGCATGTCGACAGCAGTACATGACGCTCCATGAAATACACCAGCTTGAATTGTTTGACCTGAAGAAGGGTAACTACCTTCGTAGCGTTAGAGGATGCACGCATGACCACATGACTAGCTTACATCTGAACTATATGGGGAGTCACGCTATCGCTATCTGTTGTTCAGAAAAAACGGCAACTTCTGACATTGCAATCTGGAATCTGGAAACGGAGGATCACAAACATTTAGCCCGTCATGCTGGAGTTTCACTGATGGGGGCCTGCGTAGATTTTAAGTATTGTCTGACGGCAGCACGAGGCGACAAAACGCTACGGATATGGAATCTCAGTGGCAAAGTGAATCAGTCTATGCCAAAATTAAAGAAATCTCTTGGAGTTACACAGATTATCCCTATGGTGGACAACCCTCGGTATGTAGTTGCTCGTCAAATGAACAGCGGACCCATCAGCGTATGGAATGTTGTGAGAGCGAAGATCTTACAAAACGCGGTGAGAATAGAAAGGGGCTTGTCAGAAACAGCAGATGTCGTCATTGTGAGAAACACGCGAGTTGTAATTCTGTCTGATCGCGGATTCTCCAGTGCGTCGGATAGTTCCCGACCAGTATTCCAGACTGTGTTTATATACGACTTGAGAGAAAAGAAGTATCTTAAGAAATTATCCGGGTGTTACATCACCCCGTGTCCTGCACATGAGTATATCATGCTTGACAACGAGAATCTCCTTGGACTCTCAGACAATAGGAGTCACTTTGTCGTGTGGAGTCTTGTCAATGGACATGTTGTTAGGAGAATCAAACCAAACCGAGAACTATTTCAGAAATCCCCATCACATACGGAAAGGTCACTGACTGTTCGTAACTCCAAGGAAGTGATGACTCCTTGGGATCTCCGAGCGGAATCATCGTCGGCGAAGCAAAGACGTCGTGATGAGGAAGTGGAACAGGAACGGAAACGTCACGAGGAACTTAGGAAAGAGAAAGACAATGGGATTGAACAATATATCATCAGTGAAAACCAAAATATTGCGGTCGCATCCTACTTTGCTCATCATCTATGTGTGTTCGATATTTCCACTGAGAAACACCTTCATGTTATCGAAACGCCTTTTTCCATGTTGTTTCTGCATAGTGCTGCCCTAACACCAGACGGGAGTTTCCTTGTCTTGCCGAATTACGACGAGGAAAAAAAGACCAGTTATGTCACAATGTGGGACTGCCATACTGGAGAGATCAAGAAGCGTCTGAAAAACGAGAGCAATGTTATGGCATTAGCAATACTCGATGACGGCTCAAGGATTATCATAGGACGCGACAAGAACGAATTACACATCTGGGATCCAATGTCTGCCAACGGCCTGAGAAAGATCAAAGGCTACCCAGGCCTGCAATTCAATGCGGAAAGTAAGATATTTGTTACCAATGGAGGTACCCAGGCTGTGGTATTTGCTGGGGACATCTCCGTGTGGGACATTGAACGAGGCGTGGTGTTGGCTGTATTCACGCCCGACATGAAAATTAATTGTTGTAAGGTGGCGATGGACGGGCAGCTCGTTACCTTCGGACTGCATGATATCCCTGATGTTGTCATTCTTCGCTTAGCGAACAAAGACACACCATCCTTGGAAATCTTAGGTGAAGATATAATGGGAGAAAAGGTTGAGGAAACTGACGATGAAGAGGAGGAAGAAGACTATTAATATAAATATTTTGTGCCATAAGGCAAGTTGTGGTAAAATGTTATAGAACTTCACCGGAGGGGACTGAACGCACGTGTTCTATCCGCCAAAACTTTACTCAGAACGCATTGTTGAGATCGAGTGTAGGGTGGAAATAAATAAGGTTGATTGAAAGTTTGAACGAGATGCTCGGGGAATGTATGCTTTGACGTCTTTGCTCAAAATGTAACCGCTTGAGTCTACAATCACTGCTTGATTTTCACGAGATCATAATATCAGTTTATCTTTTTCTTAAGCTCGATGAGTGAAACATCTTTTTCAACGCTTAAAATTTTGTTTTCTTCATTGATATGCCTGTTACATAATGACATTTCTGCATTGAGCTCTCATCCATTGCTTGTAATCACATTACGTGTTTGTGCGTGTATTGTTCATGTAATGTACCAGCATAATTGACGGCGTTTTGTCTTGGATTTTGGTGCTCAAACTAGCAAATGTAGGGTGATTTACAAACACTCCATCTGTAGTACAAAAGATAATGATTTTTGTACAAAGTGTAAGTGATCTCGTACATATCAAACGTCCATAAACATATCTTTTATTAGGTCCCTAATACAGTACATACTATAGAGTGAGTTTGAATGTACAAGTTATTCTTATTCATGATTCAAAATGATATGATTTTTCACATGACTGATTTTGTTTTTATGTAAATTTAAAAGAAAACACCATTCATATGAAACATACAACTAATGCTTATTAAGACTTTCAGAAGTAACTAACACCTTAAACCTATCTCCCATCTAACTTATCTGATTCCTCAGAAGAAATAAGCGAGATATTATTTTCTAAGTAAAATTTTTATCTGTGTGTTTCTGATATACTCTGCAGTAATACACACTTTTAAAAAAACATCCAATGGTATTTAATCACAACACACTTAATCTACAATGTATTTATTCACAAAAATGCATAATTTAAAACATAGATAAGACTTAAGAGCAGGTGAACCCAACTTTGTCTAAAATTAGAGCATGCTAATTTTACTATTTGTAAATTCATTCACAATATAAAGGATTTTGAAATGAAATTTTGGCAATCTGCCAATGATTTCATTAATGTCTTTTTATGTTGAATAATGATCGTGTAGAACACCTGCTTTGGCTTTAATGTTGAATTATATCCAACAATTATCAGAAGGACAATCCTGACACTTAATTTTGTAATTGATCTTTTCATGATGATGTCATTGATATTTAATTTAACTGATCCACTTCCTGCTAATCAAATACTGTCTTTAAAGAACTATCTGTAGCTTTGAAATCAACTACAGTTTAAACACTATAGTGTACTACTATTTAAAAGTTATCTAGCATTTTAAGTAAACATTGTAAATGTCTTTCTTTATGCATTAAACTTTTGAAGATTTCCATTGCCACAAAATATAATGAGGGAATGCGAGAGAGCAATGCCTTCTTTCATTATTGAACTTGAAAATACTATATATTTCAATTTTGTCAAACTTATGCTTGAAGGTTTGATTTGATACATGATTAGCATTTCATAAATATCTTAAAATCTACAAACCGTCCAGTGTTAGCAATGTATAAATACATTAAAATCTACAAACCGTCCAGTGTTAGCAGTGTATAAATACATTAAAATCTACAAACCGTCCAGTGTTAGCAGTGTATAAATACATTAAAATCTACAAACCGTCCAGTGTTAGCAGTGTATAAATACATTAAAATCTACAAACCGTCCAGTGTTAGCAGTGTATAAATACATTAAAATCTACAAACCGTCCAGTGTTAGCAGTGTATAAATACATTAAAATCTACAAACCGTCCAGTGTTAGCAGTGTATAAATACATTAAAATCTACAAACCGTCCAGTGTTAGCAGTGTATAAATACATTAAAATCTACAAACCGTCCAGTGTCACCATTGTATAAATATGTTAAAATCTACAAACCGTCCAGTGTTATCCAGTGTTAGCAGTGTATAAATACATTAAAATCTACAAACCGTCCAGTGTTAGCAGTGTATAAATACATTAAAATCTACAAACCGTCCAGTGTCACCATTGTCTAAATGTTAAAATTTACATCGCCATCCAGTTCAAGCATAAATGTATTACGATATGTCATTTCCATTCCGTCCAGCCTATTTTAGCACACATTAAGTATTAAGAAAATTGTGATATCACTTTGATGCAATCATTTACCTTTTATTATATTTATATATAAATTTATACTGCAATATATCTGTATACATGTGCACCATAGAAATAAATTTTACCAAAGTAATACAATGCCCTGTGTTTTATTTTGGTCCTTCCATCTTACAATGTATCAAAGTTTTACAATACACATGTAACAAGTATGAAGTGTTCTGAAGGTAGGTGACAATGTTGACAATTTTTGAGTTGCCTCCTACTTTTAAAGGATTTCAATCATTAAGATTCAGATTTAAAAACAGAAAACTGATAGGTACCCTCAACATTTTTATATGACCTGTTTTTGTAAGGGTATAAAATCCTTCCTCACCAATACAGTCAAACTCTTCTACTGAAGTCACTAATGGCTGCAGAGATCATAAAAACAAGTGACCTTTATATAGAGGTTCAATTACTATATTTTATATTACATTGGGAACCCCAAAAAAATATAGAGAGGTATATGTAATATACATGTGACCTTTATCGACAGATATATTGATATTTGTTATATAGAGGTAGACAAGAATTTAGAATATACAGGTGACCTTTATAGACAGGTATTTGGTAAATACAAGTGATTAGTATAAACTGGTATTTGTTATTTAGAGGTGGGCTCTATAAACAAGTATTTGTTACATAGAGATGGCTTTATAGACAGTTATTTTTCTGTTATATACAGATGGTCTTCCTTGACAGGAACTTGATATATACAGGTGACCTTTATAGACAGGTATTTGGTAAATACAAGATACCAGTATAAACTGGTATTTGTTATTTAGAGGTGGGCTCTATAAACAAGTATTTGTTACATAGAGATGGCTTTATAGACAGTTATTTTTCTGTTATATACAGATGGTCTTCCTTGACAGGAACTTGATATATACAGGTGACCTTTATAGACAGGTATTTGGTATATACATGTAACAGATATTTGTGAAATATTGGTTGTCTTTATAGACAGGTTTTTGTTATATAGAGGTGGCCTTTCTAAACAGGTACTTGTTAAATACATGTGGCCTTTAAGGCAAGTTTAATCAAACAGCACCTGACTGTAGAATCTATCACATTTGTCTGGTATTAGATCATGGGTAGGAATCCAAAAGTTGATTACTGGAAAACATTCATTCTACACAATAAAACAATTGCATGTTCATATAAATATGCCACAGTGTCAATTCTTTTCAATTTTTTTCAAATAAAGACAGATGATTCTTGAATTCAGGAACAAATCAATATATGGAATCAATAAAATGCCAATACAAATAAATGTGTGATCATCGTTTTTATTATTCAGTATTATCAAGTTTGTATAATAACAAGACAACACTAGCTAACAATTAAAATCTCTAACATCCATACCAAGTTTCACCAGTGTTCACCTCAAATCAAATGTGCAGCCATCAAAAGTATCATTATTATGTAACATTCAATTCAGTGAGGTGACAATTTTGCCTTCAAACTTTTACTTAAAATTTATTTACAAAGAACATTTCCTTAACATCACAGTGTAAAGATGTTAAAACTTTAAAACTTGTTTACATCAGTTCTGAATTATTATTTTCTAATGAATGTTGAGAAGAAAGTTTTCACAGTAGCTAAAACAGACATGTCTTATTGTCTGCATCACATACTGCTGTCTCTGATGTAGAAAACACAACATACAATGTTGTATCTAAGATTTACATACAATGTTGTACCTAAGATTTACATACAATGTTGTATCTAAGATTCACATACAATGTTGTACCTAAGATTTACATACAATGTTGTACCTAAGATTTACATACAATGTTGTATCTAAGATTTACATACAATGTTGTACCTAAGATTTACATACAATGTTGTAATGTTGTATCTAAGATTTACATACAATGTTGTACCTAAGATTTACATACAATGTTGTACCTAAGATTGTATCATACATACAATGTTGTACCTAAGATTTACATACAATGTTGTATCTAAGATTTACATACAATGTTGTACCTAAGATTTACATACAATGTTGTATCTAAGATTTACATACAATGTTGTATCTAAGATTTACATACAATGTTGTACCTAAGATTTACATACAATGTTGTATCTAAGATTTACATACAATGTTGTACCTAAGATTTACATACAATGTTGTAAATAAGATTCAAATACAATGTTGTACCTAAGATTTAAATAGTACCTAAGATTTACATACAATGTTGTACCTAAGATTTACATACAATGTTGTATCTAAGATTTACATACAATGTTGTACCTAAGATTTACATACAATTTTGTATCTAAGATTTACATACAATGTTGTACCTAAGATTTACATACAATTTTGTATCTAAGATTTACATACAATGTTGTACCTAAGATTTACATACAATGTTGTATCTAAGATTTACATACAATGTTGTACCTAAGATTTACTTACAATGTTGTACCTAAGATTTACATACAATATTGTACCTAAGATTTACATACAATGTTGTATCTAGGATTTTTGAAACTTTTTGTTGTGATGTTTCTTCTTTTTCTTAAATTCAGCCGGTACATCCTCATTGTCTACTGACTTCTGATCTTTTTGTTTTGCTTCTTCCATTTTCCTTTTCTTGAATCCACTATAAAAAGAATTCAAGGAGTTCGAAAGATGAATTTTGCACATCATATGCTTCACAAGTTACAAATAAAATTCAACTGAAGGTACCAAATTCAGGACATTTTACCACTATTTCATAATGTTTAATTGGGAAATAACAAAACTACCAAATTATCATACATAGAAGAAAAGATTACTTCATAACATATAATGTTACTAGACAGAACATCTGAAACTTATCATATAATTTACTATACCTCTTTATGCTAACAAGTCCTCTCCCAGACTTTCCAGTAAGGGCTTTATTCCAGTCATCTTCTGTTCCCTGGATCTCAAACCCTGAAAGGTCCATATCCTTTAACACTGAGATGTCCTTCCTCTGTTGTTTCTTCTTTTCTTCTTCTGCCCCTTCATTCTAAAACATTAAAATTCATGCTTTTAGTTAAAAATGTTACTGTAAAGGGTTTTCATGGTTCAAATATTTTAGTTTCACGAAAAATTTGAAACACACAATGTATTGTTCAATGAAATCATGAACAATTTTACTTTGAAGGTTTCTATTTTCCAAAATGAGATTTGAATTGAAATTTAAACATTTCTGTAACAAAATAACAAATAAAGAGTCAGACCTGTAAAGTAAATAATTTCTTATTACCATGCCTCTAATTACTAATTTTGTTTACAAGTTGTAGAAACATAAGAGTTGTCTCCCTTACCAGATCTTCATCAATGGTCTGTTTGACAGGTTCCATGGTGATTTCTTTCTTCTCCACCATGTCTTTAGCAATGTCTGTCTCAACAATCTCACTGAACATCTAAACAAAGAAATATAACTTAGTTACTTAATACTCCAGGTGGGCTCCAAGAACCTTCATGTCAGTGAGATGATTTCTGGCTGGGAGACAGAAATTAAGTGCCAATGAATTATTATTCTTTTGAAAAACCATGAAATTGTAGTCCAGTGATAATAAAACTTTTACTGTAGATGTTTCCGTTTCTGCACTTAAGTCATTACAGAGTTTCTTCTACACTTCAAACTAACTGATATTAAAAAAAGTAATGTCAAAACAGTGCTACAATTACAATACCTGTCTAGAATGGAATCCTATAATAATAAAAAAATTTTTTTAAATTTTACCTGAAATAGGCATTAAAAATGTTTGAAAGGAACCAACTATACGATGTCTTACGAAAAAAACAAAATAAGCAGGAGTTCACATGAATATACCCTACCCCCAATATTGTACAAATTTACAAAGTGGGATAATCTTTTACCTTTACCCTTGACTAATGACTACCAAAATAGACATTGATGTTGTGATGCTATGTTGTGAATCTGAGTTAAATCAGATCTGGTGATCATTAGATATTTCACACACTGTTTTCCTTATTCCTAAAGTGGTAAACTAATGAACAGTATGATTCTGAATCTGAAATATTGCAAAAGTTGATCCCTTCTTTGTAATCATTAATTCATTAGTTCTACAATATCATGAAAATGTCTTTATCAGGTTTTTTTTTTATTAAATTTAAAATATTATTTAAAAACAATGAATCTCAAGATTTGTACATCAACTTCAAAAAGAAAGATTTTTCTGTTTACCTGCACAATCTTACGAATTACTCTACTGAAGAGTCCCAGCAACTGACTGGCTGGGAGATCCAGATCTTTTTCTAGCTCATCTACTGTCTTGTGCTGCAGTCCCATGCCCAGCAAGATAGCCTAAAACATACACAGTCATACAGTGTGCTAATCATCATACTTCAGGAGAGAATATGAATATACACAGTCATACAATGCAGTATTCATCCTACCTCAGGATAGACCAAGAACATACAAAGTTATACAATGTAGTATATATCCTACCTCAGGATAGCCTAAAACATACAAAGTTATACAATGCAGTATACATCCTACCTCAGGATAGACCAAGAACATACAAAGTTATACAATGCAGTATTTATCCTACCTCAGGATAGACCAAGAACATACAAAGTTATACAATGTAGTATATATCCTACTTCAGGATAGCCTAAAACATACAAAGTTATACAATGTAGTGTACATCCTACCTCAGGATAGCCTAAAACATACAAAGTTATACAATGTAGTATATATCCTACCTCAGGATAGCCTAAAACATACAAAGTTATACAATGTAGTATATATCCTACTTCAGGATAGCCTAAAACATACAAAGTTATACAATGCAGTATATATCAGGATAGACCAAGAACATACAAAGTTATACAATGTAGTATATATCCTACCTCAGGATAGACCAAGAACATACAAAGTTATACAATGTAGTATATATCCTACTTCAGGATAGCCTAAAACATACAAAGTTATACAATGTAGTGTACATCCTACCTCAGGATAGCCTAAAACATACAAAGTTATACAATGCAGTATACATCCTACCTCAGGATAGACCAAGAACATACAAAGTTATACAATGCAGTATACATCCTACCTCAGGATAGACCAAGAACATACAAAGTTATACAATGCAGTATTTATCCTACCTCAGGATAGCCTAAAACATACAAAGTTATACAATGTAGTATATATCCTACCTCAGGATAGAACAAGAACATACAAAGTTATACAATGTAGTATACATCCTACCTCAGGATAGACCAAGAACATACAAAGTTATACAATGCAGTATACATCCTACCTCAGGATAGACCAAGAACATACAAAGTTATACAATGCAGTATACATCCTACCTCAGGATAGACCAAGAACGTACAAAGTTATACAATGCAGTATACATCCTACCTCAGGATAGCCTAAAACATACAAAGTTATACAATGTAGTATATATCCTACTTCAGGATAGCCTAAAACATACAAAGTTATACAATGCAGTATACATCCTACCTCAGGATAGACCAAGAACATACAAAGTTATACAATGCAGTATTTATCCTACCTCAGGATAGACCAAGAACATACAAAGTTATACAATGTAGTATATATCCTACTTCAGGATAGCCTAAAACATACAAAGTTATACAATGTAGTATATATCCTACCTCAGGATAGCCTAAAACATACAAAGTTATACAATGTAGTATATATCCTACTTCAGGATAGCCTAAAACATACAAAGTTATACAATGCATACAAATAGTACAAAGTTATACAATGCAGTATTTATCCTACCTCAGGATAGACCAAGAACATACAAAGTTATACAATGTAGTATATATCCTATATAGCCTAAAACATACAAAGTTATACAATGTAGTGTACATCCTACCTCAGGATAGCCTAAAACATACAAAGTTATACAATGCAGTATACATCCTACCTCAGGATAGACCAAGAACATACAAAGTTATACAATGCAGTATTTATCCTACCTCAGGATAGACCAAGAACATACAAAGTTATACAATGCAGTATTCATCCTACCTCAGGATAGCCTAAAACATACAAAGTTATACAATGTAGTATATATCCTACCTCAGGATAGCCTAAAACATACAAAGTTATACAATGTAGTATATATCCTACCTCAGGATAGCCTAAAACATACAAAGTTATACAATGTAGTGTACATCCTACCTCAGGATAGTTTCATCAACACAACCATAAAATGGGATATTATTCTACCTCACTTTGTCGAAGCCTCAGAAACACGAGATCAATAGTTAACTGACAATGCCAGAAGTTATCTCATCACCTTCCTGATATGTACTAAGTAGTTCAAAGTTTCATTTTGTCTTTTACTTTCACAAAATTAAGATGTTTCATATATCAAAACTGACCGACTGTACAGCAGAGAGGTGAATGTCGGCCTGGTCAAGGAAAAAGAGACGAGCGATGGTGGGCAGGAGATCCATTACTAGATGGTAGTCCACCATGTTCTGGGAGTACAGCTCAAGTCGCTTCAGGTCGTATTTACTAAGATAGAGGTCAAGGTCTCTCTTGGACATTGTACCTACAGTCATCAAAATGGAACAGTACTGTAAACATATTTAATCTGCCTTAATTAAACTTTAGCACCTGATTACTTTTTGGTCAGTTAGTATGACAATGATTTTTTTTACATCCAAACTAGTTGTTAGCAGTATACAGAAACTCATCCTTGATACTCCAGGGGTCACAATTACTTTTGCTCTCTACATACCTGGAACATGCCATGGCAACATTGCAGGTTCTGTGTGTGACACCTTGTAGACAAGATGAAAAGACTAGCTTGATCCTTTGAAGTACATCAAACGAATCTCAATGTCACATACCGGTATATTATAATGGCTTTGAAGTTGGGTGTCGCTCCTTTGTAATGTTCAGAAGGAGTGTATCAGTCTATGATTGGTCAGTTTATTTCTCCCAGAACCAATCAAATTATATTAATTGTGCCTTCAATTTCGCCATGACATGTTCCAGGGGTGCAGAGAGTGAAAGGGATCCTAACTCCTAGAGTATGGACATTGACAGAAACTGCAGTTAGTGTAGTTATATTTCAGTGCTATACTTGCAGTGCAATAAGCACTAAAATGAGATTACTACTAAAATATGTATGTTTATAGATCTAGTAAAAAGCTAGCTCCATATATACAGAATAGGATATCATTCTTAGAGCTCAAATTACTATTATGTGTATCCATCACATTCTCTAATTCTTGCTGGACAATTGAATTGAGAATCTACAACAATCAACAGACACATCAGTGAAAGAAATGTATCAAAGAAGATTAATATTAAATAAATGCTCTTGTACGATACAGCTATGAAGGTATGGTTATCAGTTCTACCTTTGGAAGCCTTTTTGAAGTGTTTCTGTTGAAGAATACTCAGTGCCAAGGCAGGTGTAAAGGTCTTGAACTGGTACGACATCAGAGATACGAAACGTCGCCGAAAATCTGAAAGAATTATTCATTATACACATTAAAAGATCAATTGATAATGCGAATAGACTGACATTCACAATATTTAAACACAGGTGTCATACCTAGTGTGTATCAAATACAATTAAAGGCAATTTAAAGGCATTACCTATTAACACTGAATATATATTTTTTGGCTGCCTTGAAAGAAACCTGTTGTATACAACCAGTACAAGATTACAATGTAGTATTGGCCTCTATATAGCTACCATTATAAAGAGTATTAAACACCAACATCCTCAAACTTAGGAGTGATTGAAACACAATAAAATAATACTCATACCTACAATTACAATTGTAATAATTATAAGTGTTTTTGTTTTGATGCATGTGATAGAACACCTATGTCAAGCCTCACCTTTCCAAAGACACCTACACCTATGTCAAGCCTCACCTTTCTAAAGACACCTACGTCTTCTCTCATCTTTCCAGAGACACCTACACTTAACGTCACCTCATATATTTCCAGGAACACTTACCCATACGGGCATCTCTTATCTTTCCAGGGACACCAACACTTAAAGTCACCTTTCATCTTCAAAGGACAATTATACCTATGGTCACCTCTCACCTTTCCAGGAACACCTAAACCTACATTCACCTCTCACCTCTCCATGAACAACTACACCTGTGGTCACCTCTCACCTTTCAAGGACAATCGACACCTGTGGTCATCTCTCACCTCTCCAGGGACACCAACAACTACGGTAACCTCAGCACTTTTCAAGGACCACAGACATCTGTGGTCATCTCTCACCTTTCAAGACACACCAACACCAACAGTCACCACTCACCTTTCCAGAAGGCACAAAGCCATGAATCTGACAACTTGTCCTCTTCTTCCTCAGTCTCATTCAACATCTTCAGCATGATACATGAATGTTCCCCTGTCAAATCATTCTGGAACCAACAGTCACATTCATTATACAGTGTGGTTTGGGGAGGAGGGGAGGGATGGATATAAAGGAAGACATATTCAATGGAAACCACTCATTTGTGAACTGAATTTCTTCCATTTCTCACATTAAAAAAATTCTCATAAAAATGGAGAATGCTTGCCAAGAAGACCAAGAAGACATACATTGCTGGAACTTTCATGGTCTTTTTTCCTATTTGATAATGTATGTGAGGAAACATAAAGATTTATATAAATGGCAGGTAGTTTCAGTGCATTAATTTCTTTTTAAAAAATATCATTTTCCTGTTAGTGAGAATCTGAACTCTACTTGTACCCATTTTAATGATATTTTGAATCATTTAAATGTATCAAGTAAAGAACATCAGAGTAGAGAAATACTAATCCACAGAAAACTATTACTACCTGGTTTCATTTACAAATGACGTTAAAAGTGAAAGTCACTGCGACCTATTTATAGCAAACTTACCACAATCTTTGGTTAATACATATCTGGATTATCTTTAAATCTATTTCACATAGAAAACTTTACGAGTAAAGGACAATTACTGGAGCAATAATATTGAACTAAAACTGGAAAAATAAGGAAATGTCTATTACCAATTTAACAGGAGAAATAAACAGTAGTCAGATTTACATCAGTATCAACGAAAACATCACTTACTGGTGTCTGTCTCAAGTAGACAGGAGTGAACTTTGATTTCTTCCAAAACCTACAAAAAAAACCAGTATTAATGCTTAGTATGTTCTTCACATTTTCTTTAAATATGTAAGATATACCAGCATATATTGAAATTTGTGTCTGTGGTAAGAAAGACATCACAACTCACTTTCATTCACGTCAACTGTGCTTCATGTCTCTAAAGCAGAAATGTATTCAACTTTCCTTACCTTTACATGTAAATAGCCAATAAATCACTCACTTCTACTGAACTTCAAATTTCTTAGAAATATATCTCATTTCCATTAACTTTACATTTCACAAATCATCCACTTCACTTAACTTCTGCATTTCCTTTAACTTGAAAAGTAAACAGATACTGTGTATGAAACATAAAACTTGAATAGTAAGTCCAAAAGTGTGACCAAATAATTCGAGAGGAGACAATGATTTTAACAACAAAGACAATACCATATTTCTCAGTCTAGACTTACTTGAGCACATCAGCAGTAAGTCCCTGACACTATATACAGATTCTCAGTCTAGACTTACATGACAGATCAGCAGTACATCCATGACACTACATACAGATTCCCAGACTTACTTGAGTAGATCAGCAGTCAGTCCACAACACTACATACAGATTCTCAGTCTAGACTTACTTGAGCACATCAGCAGTACTTCCACGACATGACATACAGATTTCCAGACTTACTTGAGTAGATCAGCAGTAAGTCCCTGACACTACATACAGATTTTCAGTCTAGACTTACATGACACATCAGCAGTACGTCCATGACACTACATACAGTTTCCCAGACTTACTTGAGTAGTTCAGCAGTATGTCTATAACACTACATACAGATTCCCAGACTTACTTGAGTAGATCAGCAGTCAGTCCCTGACACTACATACAGATTCTCAGTCTAGACTTACTTGAGCACATCAGCAGTACTTCCACGACATGACATACAGATTCCCAGACTTACTTGAGTAGATCAGCAGCCAGTCCACAACACTACATACAGATTCTCAGTCTAGACTTACTTGAGTAGATCAGCAGTAAGTCCAAAAGAAACACCCAGGTAATCCAGTCTCTCAGGTTTTCTTTCACTCAGTTTCAACAACAGTGGTGGCAGATTTTTCCGAGGTTTAATTCTTTCTTCCAGCAAATTTACATCCTATGAGAAAAAATTTATAAAAAAAGTTGATTTTTTATTCATGTAAAGTACTCTCAAGGCAACTTGTTTTATTTTAAAGATTTTTTTCCTTATGTAATCAAAAGTACTTCAAATTTATTTTTGATACATACACCCCTAAACTTTCATTTTCAATATACCAAATGTTCACATCACTTCAACATTAACTACATGTTTAAAGACTAAAAGCCTAAATAAATATCACAGTAAGTTATAAAATTTGTTAGTCTACAGTGCCCTTTGAACTTCCAGAGTCCTTTTTGAAGTGTAGTTTCTTTGCAGTAACTGGTAGCTACCTAACTCAACAATGTACAATTAGGGTTAAGTGTCATGTCCAAGGACACAGCCACATCAGCACAGACTGATCCATTTCTCACCTTCTTGAGAAATGCAAATTGCTACAGGTAGAGAACGTCAAACCAGTCACCTTAGATCTTCACCTGAGGTTATGTAAACCAATGCTCTACTGACTTAGCTACTGTGACATCCCATCTTTTGAAAGGTAACAACTTAACCAACCAATTATTAATAGAAATTGCCTCAGAATGATGTTAACACATGACTACATCACGGCATCACTCTCTCATTGAGTGTTGAAGTGACAACATACTATAGATTTATTTTGCAATGCTCAAATTTTGCCATTTGGCGTAAAAATTGGATATCTAATTTTACCCAGGTCATATCTTTAACAATAAAAAGCAGGAACTTAAACCATAGATAATGTGACTTTTTCTCAGTCAAACTTTGCCAATTTATTATTAGCCTCAGAATATTACAGCGGAAATTATACACTGGCAGCAAAAGTTCTGTTCCATGGTAATTTACTACCACCTTACCTCCTCTCCAACAGTTGAAATTTCAGTTTCTGTGTCATTAACTGTTTCTGACAGGTTTGGGATGTTACCCTCGTAGTACTTCTCCAGTAATGTCAATGCCCTCGTACCATACCCCATCTGTATATATACAAATGTACTCTATCAGTTTACACTATACTAATGTTCACTCTAACATTGGAAGGAGAAAGAACACAGTTAAGTAAGACTGTCTTCATTTAACTGTGAAATATATCATTAAGCATCAGTGTAATGGTCATAATACAATATGCATTTCATAAACTAGAAAATGTCTATAAGTCATGAATGTAAACACTTCTAAATAAACCAAGTTATCATCGGGTGTGGAACACGACGATGTGATATTAAAGAGAAAACATGAACCAGTTGTCTATTGAGAGGAACAGAACAGATGGACACATACAATGGTGGGAGCATGAATATGCTGTTAAATATCTTATAAGATACATTCTAGACTTACCCCTTGGTAATCTGGATGAGTGGCTATCCGAACAATTCGTCCTCCTGACAATCCAGGAAAGTCGTGATCTTGAAACTAAGAATGAAATCCCTGAATTAACATTATTATAGATGATAAATGTAAGATGGTAGGTCTATTAAATACATGGATTACAGTACCATGAGGATAATCTATGTTACAGAAACTAAACTTACTGAAATCACCTAGATCTAACAAATACTTATTGTGCTTATGTATCTTTTCACATATATTTCCCGATACACGATTTTGCAAACACTGATCTAGCAATGACTTAAAATTTGCTAATGATACCAAGCTGTTTATAACACTGCTGGGCTAACCCTTATCAAAACACCACTTATCGACATGAGGACTTGTCATACTGGTAAGCTTACTGTACCATTATGGAGAATAACTGTTGTTATAAACAATTAAGTGAATTCTTGAATGGTACTAATACACAATGCGACATGGTTACGACATTAACGTGAAATGAAATCGGCAGCTTCAATTTGCATTTTTTACCCGAATGCCATCAAGAATTATGTGTGTAGAACATAACTGTTTTTAAAGGATTTCATTGGTTACCAAATCAACATGAATGCCATCAAGAATTATGTTTGTAGAAATAACTGTAAAGGATTTCAATTCGTGTTTGACTTTCTTCGTGTATTAATGTGACAGAAATTCCATGAGAAATATAAGTGATTAACAGTATAAAAAGAAAGAAGATAGTGACAAGTGTAAAGTGTTCATCAACCTCTGAAGTGAATTTACTTTATATTGGATTCACGCTTTCCTTGTTATAAAATTAAGGTATAATGGGAATGAGATATTTACCTGATGTGAGACTGTCCATGGAATGAGATATTTACCTGTCGTGAGACTGTCCATGGAATGAGATATTTACCTATAGTGAGACTGTCCATAGAATGAGATATTTACCTGTCGTGAGACTGTCCATACAATGAGATATTTACCTGTTGTGAGACTGTCCATGGAATGAGATATTTACCTGTTGTGAGACTGTCCATGGAATGAGATATTTACCTGTTGTGAGACTGTCCAAGGAATGAGATATTTACCTGTTGTGAGACTGTCCATGGAATGAGATATTTACCTGTTGTGAGACTGTCCATGGAATGAGATATTTACCTTTTGTGAGACTGTCCATGGAATGAGATATTTACCTGTCGTGAGACTGTCCATGGACTGAGATATTTACCTGTTGTGAGACTGTCCATGGAATGAGATATTTACCTGTCATGAGACTGTCCATGGAATGAGATATTTACCTGTTGTGAGACTGTCCATGGAATGAGATATTTACCTTTTGTGAGACTGTCCATGGAATGAGATATTTACCTGTCGTGAGACTGTCCATGGACTGAGATATTTACCTGTTGTGAGACTGTCCATGGAATGAGATATTTATCTGTCGTGAGACTGTCCATGGAATGAGATATTTACCTGTTGTGAGACTGTCCATGGAATGAGATCTCCTGAGGCCCGTTCCCCACGAGATAAACTGTTGAGGATTGTGGCTTTAGATATTTCTCCCTCTAGACATACCTGTAACAGGACCGTTAACAAAATAACATACAATGTATTATAAATAGATCAAATTCAATATTTCCAATAATTATGCAATCTGGACAGTAGAAAAATTTTAGGGATTTTGACGTTCTTAACCTTGACTGCATCGATCCCTTTTTTTCATACTGTTTTCTGTCAAATACAATGTGGTAATTATACATACTCTATTGACTACAGGATCCTGTATCAATCATATGGTATCATGCCCACAGTCTGGCAGATCGCAGGGTTAAATTACAGTAATCAGTTTGGAATATATCCTTTTTATATGCAGAGTAGGTCAAAAAACTGTTGTATCAGTTGTACTTACCTGTACCACACATGATTAAATGTTGTTGTACTTACCTGTACCACACATAACACCTCAGGCAGTGAGGACTGGTCTGGGTCAATACTACCCAGGAGAGCGAAGATGTGGTGAGCTGGGGCATCAGACAACAGCTGTAGATCATTGGGAGTATTCTGAAACATAACCTCACACTATACACTCTTCCTCTGTTACTCTCCATGTATTGGTTGGTTATTTAGTGGTAACACACTTGCCTCCACCTACATGACCGCGGTTAAATTCCTTGATCTGATGTAAAAATGTATGGTGCCCCCTGCCAAACCTTAATTTTCCCTCAGTACTCACATTTCCTCCCACGGCAAGACCCATCATGAAGTTCAGTACAAGCAACAGTGATTAAGGAACGCTTATAGCTTGTTTCACTATTGTTATAAGAAAATTAAAATTTACATAATTGAATCAAACAGCATAAATTATTAACATTACTTGTCAATCTAGCAGATCTAGCCATTCAAGAATTGTTGAGGCTATGATTTCACTTAGGAAGAGTTCTACAACAAACCTTGTAATGAGAAGACACATAAAGGGCCATGATTCTGTGGAGGAAGGCTTCAGAAGCTTTGTGGTAGGAGAACAAGGTGTCTCTGTTGACGTAGTAAAGATCACAAGTTTCAGGGAGAGGGCAACCCGACGATATCCGTGGTACAGTGGTTGCATCCAAACACAATAGGTCATTAAGCCATTTCTCTACAGGGTCACCGTTGGCATACCTGATTGATTCATTTAGTGTCACCTCGTGTAAAACACGGCCTGTTGAAGAAGATGTTAAACACTGGACAAGAGACACAGGCATTCTTAAGAGTTATAGAGTGAGTCACAAGACCTGTAACAGGCTGTCTTACATCAGCATCATAACAACCTATCATAATTAATAATGAGTAAGTATTTAGACATTGTCTAGTCATCATAAAAACAATCAGTAAAAACTAGAGTTAGGAAGACAGCACAAGATGTTATAAGTTCAAAAATCATAATGATGTACTTCTCTTATGGACATCAATCTCTGACAACAGTTATTGAAATGTCTATGTCCTCTTCAGCTAAGGTTGATGACTATTTCCTTTAATACTTTCTACACAGAGGAACAAATCTGAACATGTAAAACTTTGATGTTTTTGGACATCAATTTTGTATGTAGCAGCAGCTTTTCATCACTTATGAAAAAAAAAGTTTTTATGATTAAAATTGAAAGTATCAACACAAGCTCTAAGATATTGACATTAAGAAACTCACCTGATGCTGAGGAGACAGAATCAGCTTTAGAGGTCATGTTGGCAGCTTTTTGTAGTTCCTTTGATGTACCACCATAGGTAGCGGACTGCTGACGGAGCTGTTGTACAAGTTTGAGTGACAGTGATCGACCTGTTCCCTCATACCTGTGACATGAAAACTTACAGGTAAACAGATATCTATAACTTTTTTTAGAACTTTCACTGAAGTATGGGGAACTAACTTTGTCATTCAAACAGGTAACATCTGGCTAGATAACAGCTTACCCATTAATTGTTGAGGACATGAAGACCAGGTAAGGTCCTAGAAGGTTCTTTACTAACGGCAGAGGAATGGCTGCAGCCTCATCAATACAGACCAGCTCCGCCTGTCCTAATTTATGGGCATCTCCAGGGTGGATATACTGTAAAATCAGGTACACATCAACGTCACAAACTACTTTATTAACATATCTTGTCAGTGATACAATTCATCAAATAAACAATTCTGTGAGCATGTACCCTGATTTACCTGTAATGACCTAATTCTAAATACACAGGTACAATTCATATAAAATGACTTTATTTTCAAAACAATCAAAGGTTAAATGTGTCTATATATCTCTGTAATTAAAAATTTGTTTTTAATTCATTTGTAGTCAATACTTGGCAATGACAAGATAATGAATTTACTACATCAACATGTGAAGAAACAATTTATTGAGATCATCACACAGTATATATATCAGGTATTCCTGAATGGAGGTGTAAAGCCTGGTTTTGTCATAAAACTGTCTTTTACAACTTTTATGAAACTCTTTTAAATGAAGCCACAACAATGTTGAAAGATCTTCACAGAAAGGTGAATTCTCATTGGTCACAATATTTATGAAAAAACTGATGTATTTTTTATTTATCAAATATATCTTTGATTAGTCAACCATTTCCTAGTACATATGAATATTTGAGAATCTGTCTACTTAAAATGTAATATATGATTACAATTAACATCAAATTCAAAGAGACATAGGCAAGCTGTATAGTAAAACACAACACTGTTTATAGAAAGCTTCTCATAATTCTATTGAATTCTATCTTGTCATTCCTCGCCCATTTACAGTTTTCAAAGAAACGTCTAATTGATGTCACGTTCACTACCAAGTTTTATATTGCGGATACCATGTTATTGTTCCTGCAATGATTTTGTTAGCAGGACAAAACTTAATGGGAACAAGTTATGAGATGTTCTTGGACTAACACATATATGTCTTCTAAATACACCCCTAATATCTTACCTGTATTGTCTGACGATGTTCCCTGAAGATGTTTACCCGAACAATGGCTTTGTTAAAATCAGGATTGGTGGACTGAATAATCTCATAATCCAAGTGTTCCTATATTTTGGAGAACAAAATAAGAACTAATTACAAACAGTTGTTTACACACCTTAAATCACAATCATGCTAGTAATTACATTCATTACTCCATCTTCTAGTGGTCAAGTATGTCTATTAACGTTGATCACTCACCTGATACTCTAAGGCATCAAATCCTTTGAAAATAAATTCAAATACAGTCTTCAGATTTTCTGGACTTGGCGCCGTAACAAAAATATTTGAATACCTAAAACAAGAATGATGATGGGAAAAAATTTAGCTCATGAAAGAAAGACAGCATTTTCAAATTGACATTCTTTCCATAAATATGATATCTAACAAAAAAAAGTATGATTGATTTTTAATTCATATATCTAACAAGAAAACCAGAGATGTAGACAAAATTAAAGTTATTTGTGTATCCAAGAAAAGTGAACCAAATAAACAAACCAGAAGCAATGTTAGATAATTTCCAACTTGTCTGGAGTTTCAGAATTTACAGGAAAGATTTCTTCACAATGTGACAGTGCCATTAGAACACGGCTATTCTCAAAATAATTATCCAATTCAAATTACTCGGTGACATTACTGGTAGAAAACAGATGCAACAGCTAAGTCTAGATAAAGCATGTTTACCCAAATCCTACTGCAGTTGATATAGCCAGCCCTAGTGCTGCAGACTTCCCTCTCCCTCGTGCTGCAGTCATTACAACTGTGCTTCGTAATGTCTTTTCAGAAATGGCTTCAACAAACTTTAACAATGCCTTTCCCTGTAAAATAGTTTTAACAATAGCAGTGTTTGAACAAATCGTTTCCACCAGCTTTACAACTTATTTATTTGCTAATGTTTTAGTTTGAACATAATCATGTTTATAGAATTTTCTTGAAACAAGAATCTGAACTAGAGGTATCTGTAATTGAAGGCACAAAAGAGAATGCTCCATTTCATAGAAATCTGGAAATTTAATCAGAAAATAATCTGCTAAATAGACCTAATAGATTAGTATCAAAATTAAAGTTTTCAGTGCAGTCAGACATTGTTTATCCTTTACTATCTTGACATTAGTGCCCCTCCCAACATCCATAATTATCCCTATGGTGGTGTTATCTGAACTGCTAATTAGATGCCAACAATATTGCACACCATGGCTATACTCTACCATTCCATTTAAACTAATAATCATGATAGTTTTATGAATGATATTAACAAAATATCAATGTAACATATTAATTATCAAGAAAAATGCTACAGGACTGTAGATTTTGTTTTCCATGAAATTTTCATAAAAACTTTGTTACGGATTTGCTGTTTATCTCTTGATATCCTTGGAATAACAGGTTTCTAGCGTCAGTTAAAGCAGGGCTAACAAAACTATACAGAAGTTACTTGTCAACTTGGAGGTTTATGTCAATAACCATATTTGGTCGTACTTATTGCTGTTATGTGTCTAATTGACGGTGATTAGGACTTAATAGTAAGTTTGGCATCATACCTGGTCCAGGGTTTTACATGTGTTAACCAAAGCCCCGACGGGCTGTGTGTCCTGTAACGATTCCTTAAGGGTGCGTAACTCCTGCAGCTCTGGGGACACTTCATCTTCCTATATAACATAATAAAAACTAATTCACAATCATTGAAATCATCAGTTGATTGTTTAACCCACAATGATTGTGATATTACAGGTGTACCATCACCATGATTTAGAAGGAACAAGTTGTATGTTGACTGAGAGACAGACTCACCAGTGATTTAGAAGGCACAAGTTGTATGTTGACTGTGTGAGAGACTCACCAGTGATTTAGAAGAAACAAGTTGTATGTTGACTGTGAGACAGACTCACCAGTGATTTAGAAGGCACAGGTTGTATGTTGACTGTGTGAGAGATTCACCAGTGATTTAGGCGGTACAGGTTGTATGTTGACTGTGTGAGAGACTCACCAGTGATTTAGAAGGCACAAGTTGTATGTTGACTGTGTGAGAGACTCACCAGTGATTTCAAAGAAACAAGTTGTATGTTGACTGTGAGACAGACTCACCAGTGATTTAGAAGGCACAGGTTGTATGTTGACTATGTGAGAGACTCACCAGTGATTTAGAAGGCACAGGTTGTATGTTGACTATGTGAGAGACTCACCAGTGATTTAGAAGGCACAGGTTGTATGTTGACTATGTGAGATGAAAGTGGAAGGAGGTTGAACTGGTCGTCGATCACCATACAGTTCTTACAGGATGACATTGACAACAGAAACCTGAAAAAATAAAACATAGCTCTACATTGTTAAGTAATTGTAACATTTACCTAGTTGTACTAAACAAGTTCTTGTTAATAGATGTTTTAATATTGTAGGTCTTTATTCTGTATCTATTGATCCATTGTTTACATCATTTTTTTCTTTACACTTTGATCTACAAATGTAAACCACATGTATGTATATCCAGTAGGGATAGGTTGATGGTTCAATTACATTAAAAACAAGAGATCCCAGAGGGATCTTGGTGCCCACCATTTGAGGATCTGTTTTCAGTTCTTGAAGATTTGTTTATTTTTTTTTTTTGTGTTACAGGTTTTGTAAATGTTTATGAACTGGTCTTCATTGAATGTTCTCAATGATGGCACAAGATATTCTTATTAAGCACCTATTAGCAAATATCATTTGAAAAAGATCCCAAAGTATTATTAGATAGCAGTCAGTTACAGGTGGATAATGGACATGGTCTTGAATCAATATGGTAGAATATCGAAGAAAATATGCTGTGCTGTATTACTGTCGACATCCAAGATGGCTGCCTGTGGGCCAACTTGATTTCAAATCAGTCCAAAAAAATACAATGCACAACTAGGGACCAAGGGAAACCAATACCTATGAAATATCAGAGGTATCCATCCAGTACTTCCTCAGAAATTGCGGTAACAATCTTTTACTTTCAAACTCCAAGATGGCCGCCTGTCAGCCATCTTGAATTTGAATCAGTCCAAGGGGAACCTGCATATGAAATTTGAGAAAGATCCATCCAGTACTTTCCAAGAAATAGCGATAACAAATTTTACTTCCAAAATCCAAGATGGCTGTCTGTCAGCCATCTTGAATTCAAATCAGTCCAAAAAAGGTACAATGCACAACTAGGGACCAAGGGGAACATGCATATGAAATTTGAGAAAGATCCATCCAGTGCTTTCCCAGAAATAGCGGTAACAAGAATTGTTTACGGACGGCCGGACGACGACCACGGATGCAGGGCGATTTGAATACCCCACCATCTGATGATGGTGGGCTAAAAAACAATCCAACTATAGTGACACATCATCAATACAGTAATATAAAGCTTCCCTCTTATAAGGATAGGAAATTCTCCTACATTATATATAATCTTACCTAACCTCAGAAAGAGATAGGATATCAAACTAAAGCATGCATGATCTGCACATATTTTATATGAAGCCAAATAATAAACATTCATTGAATCTGCCTGACCACTAGATAAGTAATTCTGTAATAAGATAAAAAACCTTTCATTGAATCTTCCGACAACATCCTGGTGGGACTCCGTCCTGTATCTTGAGTGTACATCCTGAAACATAAAACTTAAACATAGACTCTCAATCGTTTGGTTTTGGATATTGATATTCAAGGTTCTAACTTCAAACAAGCACCTGCACACATCAGCTGGGACCATTGTTATTGTTCAATTTGGTGTCGTACCTTTTGGCGTCATAAAATTGCAGACAACCTGGTTACATTAAGGAAGAATCTTTTAGGTCATGCTTTCTCATAAAGCAGTGAAAGGATTTAGTTGTTTGGGGTGAACCTTTTTTAGGAGTTAACATGTAAGGGGAAATTCACTGTAACACACTTTGTTTATCCAAAAGACAATGAGAGCGTAGTTTTGCCTCTAACATGAAAATATTGGGTACAATGGTTCTCAATCAGAGTTTTACAAGCCAAAACAGTCAAGTTTGTTTTAAAGATTGTACAAAAGACACACAAGTTGTAGTATTATTGCAAAATTATTATTTATAAAAACTTTCAGAGTGGGGTTGTTGATGAATCATTCTAATGAATAGCTTGATTGAACTACATCAATCCTCACCTACAGGTAAATAGAAAAATAAAATCTGGATCACAAAAACAGTTCAACAGAATGCTGCACCAAATTTTCTATAGACTGAAAATTCAAACAGTATTTTCTAGGTGAACATATGTAGATTATGTAATGACAATTTCTTGGGGAAACAGATTGCTATACCATTGTCATTGTGTAAAGCTTCTTGAGAGATTTCATGGTCCGCAGCAGGATAACAACAGCCCCACCCCCTTCTACTGTCTCCACTGTCCTTGCCAGCAGGTTTGGTGTGAGGGCTTCAAAATCCTAAAGAAAACATTACAGTTATATGACAGGTAAAAAATGTGCACACAGGACAGCAGAAAGTACTTATACACTGTCAAACCTCAGTGTAAAATAACTGTTTAATGCAGTTAAATTACATAGACAGGTAAAATATACATAATCTTAAACTGCTTCAAAATATGAAAAATAAATTTTGAAAAAATAGTTTTCATTGATGCAATTATATTTAATTAAGTTGCAAATCAAGTACCTGTAAAATGCACATCCCATATGTACTTCCCAGTATCTTGTGTGTCTCAGCATAGTAACAGTAACGAATGTTTGTAGAAGACACAAATAGCTCAAATGGATCATCTTCCTTTACGTCAAGTTTCCCACTCCGAATCTTCCTCTGTATCTGTTTCATCCTCTTTTTTCTGTGACTAAAACAAATAAATCCTAATTATTACATCATATTTATATATGTGACAGCATGGTTAGTATTTAAGAGCAAAGATCAACATGTTCCTTAAGCTTCTGAACTTACAGTAAAATCATATATAAATTTTTGTCAGGCTCCAATATCATGCCTCAGAAAACTCATTAGTACTATAACCCATGTCAAGTTTTATCTGTTCATCATTTCGTGGAAATATAAGTTTGTGGATTTAGAGAACCCAGGAATGTAACGAAGGTAAATCCACCACAAAAATTATTTTTCTTTTGTTGTTGTTTTTTTTTAAACCTTACCATAAAACATCCAAAATTATAAGCAAACAAGTTCAGGACTGAATATAAAACATGGTCAATTTTTGATAATTCGTTTTTTGTGATATTGAAAAAGTATTTGCAGAGTTCTTTTAGTGTTTTGCCTGTGATCCTGCCAATATCTAAAAAAACTTATGTTTAACAAGGTCCTACCTATACAGCTTTCACAGTATCTCAGCTACATCAGTCTATCTGACTTTCATTCTGATCATAGATTTGGGATTTTACTTCTGTAATTGCCAATGTCATGGTTTGATAGAATGTCCTGCTAACCCTAAAGTAATCCTCATTCTCATTCAGTTTCATCTTAGGTCAATAAAATGGTAAAATGCCCTTTACAAACCTGCTAAATCCTAGTTCCTTCTTGTAACACCATAGAACAGTTGGTCTGGTCTTAACTACAGCTTTAGACAACATGTGGTGAAGTATTACAATCTAAAACAAAATATTAGTAGAAGATAATCACAGTAATAAGACAAAAGGCTGCCATAACTTGATAAGGAATATTAATATCTATATCCAGGGGACAAACCTTGTATTGTATTAAGCCTACTCATATTTATACAAGATCTTTAATAAAAACCAAAACAAACAAAAAAACAAAAAACACTTCAATATTGATCTCTTCAGCTGACCATTTTTCATGTGTAAGTTTATGTGCTTGTCCCCTTGACATCTTGCAGAATTAATATAGCGCAAATGTGATACAAATTCTAATTAAAATTGAAATTGAACGTATAACACTTATATACACCAACAAAGTTGTGATTCTCAGTTAACTGCGGAAGATGGCCAGGTAAAGAAATTTAGTAAAAGTGACAGGATACATTTTATAGTAAAATAAATAGATGACCTTATCCTTGATACATCAAATAATTTAACATTCTGTAAATTGTGGCAGTAACCATGTGACAACAGTGATTTAAATGTTTATATCATGTTGTCAATAAACTTGATCTAAGAAACATTCACTTTCATTTTTATCTATGATATATCAGAACTTTTCTTCCAAAGTTATGGTATAGATATATTTTTCCAACATTTTCTTTAGGTTGGATGCTAATACAGCTGATAAAGTTGGTAAATTCCTTACCATCTCCTACACTACTTATATAATTGCTGATACGTTTCACAGTCATCATTTGTCTGTGTGGTCATACCAATGCCACACTAAAATCTTCCACTGGTTGTGTTATAAGAACTTTCATTCTATAACTCGTATTTCAGTTTGACAAGATAATAAAAAAGAACTCATTTATGATACAACAACTCCCAGTTGAGTATTACCTGATCTCGGCCATGGTCACCAACAACCACAAACATAGAACGATGCTTTTCTGCCACTCCATTTTCTATGAGGATCCGCAAGCGGTTGTCAATCTTTTTACGTACCATTTTGACAGATTAACTACAAAACAAAAGTTAATATCAAATCATTATTAACATAAACATTACTCTAATTTATCAACAAGTTCATCCCCTGTACATAACCAACTGGGCTTCTCTACATGAATCAAATACCTATAAGCTACAATAACTTTTATTTTATTTAACATCATGTTTCGGTAAAAAAATCCCACATCGCTTTACATTTTTTAAGACTTGAACTACACGAGACGTTACGATAAGCATAAATGTTTACGATGGGTCGAATCCGACGATATATACGGGACACCGATCCGACCTATTCGCCAACTGTACGTAACACAACTTGCCAGTATTTCAAAATTTTTGAAACTAAGTATTTTATTTCTTGAACAATCAGCTGGCAGAAATATCATAATCTTACCAAAGAAACGGAAGTATCGGCGACAGTTGGCGACAATATTTCAGCAGATATATATATGTGTGTGTGTGTGTGTGTGTTATATACGTCTCTGATTTCAGTGACCTGTGTAACTGTTATTAAACAGTAGACAGATCAGCTGGAACATCCATACTTATTCTTACGTTTCCCTGCGATGTAATAGCGATATATGTCCCAGATATGAAAAAAGTAATGTCAACGTTTCAAATAGGATTATACATAAAAAGTTGTACATTTTAAACCCATATACTGGTAATAACTGATAATAAATCATTAACTCACCAGCTAAAATGTAAACACAAGTTAGGCCTTTCACGTGGGTAGTACTAATTACAGCAGGTTACCGCCCGCTACTGTCCAGTGTTGCCCGATATTGCCCGGTACCGCCCGGCAACGCCCGGCACCGCCTGGGAACTATATATTGACCACCAGGGATTTAAATTTAATGATTTGAAGTACCTCATATCTTAATATATTGACAAAACCAATATTTCAGTCAAAAAATGGTAGAAAACCTATCCAAATTTTCCGGATTTACAGTTATTTGAAATATGTGATATGCAACGATGAGTTAGGTTGCTGTTCCCCAAGTAAGACCACTATTTTCCTATTTATTTTTAGGCTAAGAGTTCCTTAACGAACACACTACATGTTTAGCGAGGATATTGGTCTACAGAGAAGCCCGGGCGGACGAAGAGGTGGCGTTACATAACCTGAATGATATACCCTGACCGGGTGGTAGCCATATACCAATTATGATAATACTAATTCCAAACTAACCGTGCGGACGGAGCGAATTATGTTCATGTTGTTAATATTTAATAGATGTGATAGAGTTTAATGGATACAATAACAAAAAGAAAGCTATGGCGGTCCAGACATACGGCAAATAACATGATCCAGTCTCTTCGTTGCAATCATGCTGATTTCAAATGTCCGTGATTACTGTATTTTGTAAAGATAATTTAATCTTTTCACGGTATATCAACGGTTACTATTTATGAGTATGATACTTCAATAACCAAATTTCTCATTATTTCTGAATTACTATATTTAATTTAATAGAAATAAAAGTCCGGGCGGTCATTTTTACAAATATCTTTTATCGTTTCTGGATCAGGATATTTAATTAATTCCCATGGAAATAGATAATACAGATTTAACGATACATGGAGAATAATATTTCTGTCATTTAAAAATAGTTTTTATATAATTTCTGAATTTTAATATTCATATTATTCACATGAAAGTATATTATACAGATTTAATTGTATATGAATAAAAATAAAAACGGGCGCATTAGATATCGCAAAAAAACATGATCCGAGCTCATTGTTGTGATATCACTTATTTCAAATAACTGTAAATCCGAAAATTTGTATAGGTTTTTACTGAAATATTGGTTTTGACAATATATTAACACATGTAACTGTTTAAACGCTTCAAATCAGAAATTAAATGCCCGGGTGGTCAATATATAGTTCTCGGGCGGTACCGGGCAAATCGGGCAGCACCGGACTGTAATTATGTCACCCGTCACACGTGTAATGGAAGCGCCCATGGCAGCAGTTGGCTGCTGCTAGATAATGCTTTAAAACCAAGATGCCGGGCAATTTTCAGAAAGCGTTACAAAAGCAGGCTTATGACATAATTTCTCATCGATATGGATTGCTTATTATCATTGGTGCCATAGTTTTGGTAACCATATCTGCATTCCACTTTGGAGAGGTAACAACATTTAGGGGAGAGAACTCGAATTTACCCGCCCCTTGTTTACTTTTTCTCATGAATTTGCTCACTAAGTTGTTTGCTAATTTAATTATCTCAAAGCACATCTAAATAAGAGTTGACCAGTAATTGTTGAATCTTCGTTTTTTAAGTGTAATGGTCATTAGAAAAAACAAAACAAAAAACAAAAAAAATAGGGAAAATTAAAAACTTCATAATACTTCAGCAATTTACAAAATTTGCTTAGAGGCTGATTAACACGTATATGGAAAGATAACCAGAGACTGTACATGATCTCAAGGTGCGTCGTTATTTCATAAAGGAACATCGTTAGTTCAACAACAGAGCTCTTGATTGATCTGTATATCATTTTGTCATGAGCAGTAAACCATTCCTCCCAAATAATGGTGGTCTTGGTGAAAGGTATTCTAGTTTTTGTTTTGAATAAGTAAAAGAGCATAATTATATTTATCTTATTTTAAGAGATAATGGAATGAATGGATTGATCTCTAATACTCATTTTATTTTTTTGTGTGCCACAATTAGACGGTATTGGAATGGAGTGAAGAAAAGTATGCAGCTGTTTTCAACTCATTTAGTGATAACTTGGCAGGGAAGTCTTTCAGAGAAAGGTAAATAACTAGTTCAATAGAGTATTGATTAAGATAAAAAAAAGATATAAAGAAAATAATGAAGTTGTTTCACTGCTTCTTATTGTTTTTGATTTTGTTAGATTTGGATCTCCAAGAGAGAAAAAAAACCAGTACTTGGGTTAATTATCTTTAATAAAATTCAGTTATGGCTCATGAACTCATTTTGGTCATGCATGGCCAAATCATAAAACAGGTAACTTAGAGTTAATTTTTAAGCATTGGAGACATTGCCACTGGAAGTAGGTAAATAAATATACATTGTGTATTAAATTAAGTGCAGAAAATCAACATGTATTGCCTGGAATCCCATTTTATCATATCTTTGCTAGCCAAGTGCTACAATCTTTCGACTTCCCCATTTCTCATGAAGAGGAGTAAATGGATTGTAAATCGTGGCCACTCTGGCACTTTTAGAGAGGAATAGCTAGATTGTAACCCTTGGTTACCAAAGATGATTCCATCATAGAACACTGAAGAAAACCTTTTTGTCTTTTATCTACAATTGTATTTTATATGAATTTTGATTCATTTTTTTGTACTTGCATATGACTTTCTGAACACTTCATTATGTATTTTTGTATACATGATGAAACTTGTTTGAGATCTCTGTACATTACAGGTTGTGTTTGCCTGTACCCATAGATGTTGTTTACACATGGGTAAATGGCTCAGATCCTAAACTCATCAACCAGCTCCGCAAAGTCAAAATGGACATGGAGGAGGAACTCAACATCACAAGGTAACTACATAGCCTTATTCTAGGAAACTATACTTTTACAGGATGAGAGCTTTCTGATACAGAATTTAGAAATCTGATAATCAAGACATTGGTTAAAAAGTTATAAACAGGATTAAGGGACATCTGTATGCCAGAGATTCTTTCTTGTATGGGATAAGAGTTTGCTTATAGTGAGTGTAGGCTTTAATAAGCAAGGCATCAGCTAAAATAACGAACAAATAAGGTCAAGGGAAAAGTAGATATTCAAGGTAGGTTATATTTTGTCATTTTGTGAAGAAAAAAAATTAATTTCAGTGTTATGATTGGTCAATTTTGTCTTATTACACGTGGGTATATGTGTGTTATTGCTGGGATACATATGAAATTATTGCTCTTCTCCCTGGGTGTATGAACAAATGCCTGGACATTTACTAACGTATATGAACACCAATGCTTTATCATGATCCAGGGAAAGTCATGCAAGTAGCCAGTGACTCAGTTTGTCAGTAATTCCTCTGTAGACTCAGTATATGGTAATGTTATGGTCTTTGTTTATGGTAGTGCAGTATGACAAAGTTATAATCCAGTTCTTTAGACAGAGTATATGGTACCATATCCCTTGTCAGGATTTAACATATCTGGAGCGGTAACATTATTTAGGATATGTAGTGGTATAGACATATTCTAGGTAGATTTACAGGTGGACAAAATACCTGTGATAAAGGTATTGAGATTCATTAAAGTATAAGTCCATGTTATACTGCCACAATTTGTCCAATTAGAATTGGTGGTTTGGCAATACATGCAGGAAGAGATATACCAGAGATAAAGGAAGGGATGTCATATTGTGTTTTTATCTTTAAATCTTGTTTTATACATGGAAAAGTTTTTAATTTGGTACAATTTTAATGTTAGATTGACAGCAAAGACTGAAAATGGGTAAGTAGTTCCTATGTAAATATTGTTATGTGGTATGTTTTGATGTATTTGGTATAATGATATGTTTTGTGTTGTCTCTAGTATAATGATATGTTTTGTGTTGTCTCTAGGTGAGTTATACCACATTAGTAGACCTTTATCACTAAAGCTACAGGCTAAGTACATCATAGAGTTTCCATTCAGAGTTCATTTGCCAAACAACACGGGAATATTGCTTTATCATTAGTATGATTTTTTAATTCCTGCTTCACTATAATTTTTCAATTCTGGTTACCAAGTATTTATTTAGTTATTTTTATGCTCCCTGAAGAATTTTCGGGGTGAGCATGTAGTCGTCACTTTGCAGTAAGTAGCCTTGCTTCACCATGTCTAAAACTGATGATTTTACTAGTGCTAGTACATTGTGACAAACATGTAGACATTGTGATATATGTAACCATACTGTGATGTACATGCAGACATATTGAGATGTTCATGAAGCACACCTTTGTGTACTTGTAGACATATTGAGATCTTCCTTTCGTAACATAGTAATGTATTTTTAGAAAACATAATGTATAGGGTGACAAATTGTGATGTGTATAAACATTGTACATGTAGACACACCATGATGTAAATACAGACATATTCAGGTGTAAATTTAGAAACACCATGATGTACATATAGACATATTGAGATGTACATCCAGGAACTCTGTAATATACCTGAAGATACACCATGATGTACATATAGACATACTGAGATGTACATCCTCCAGGAGCTCTGTAATGTACCTGAAGTTACACCATGATGTAAATATAGACATATTCAGATTTAGAAACAATGTGATGTACATGTAGATACCACAGTTACACCATGATGTACATATAGACATATTCAGATTTAGAAACAATGTGATGTACATGTATATGTCTCTTTCTTTGCATGGGGTGCTCTTTCACTATTTTAATTGCTTCTTGAAGGAACATTTTGACATTTCAGACATTAGCATGACAAAGTTCCCATTCTCACCAACCTGTTATTAAAGAAATTGAGGATATTACGGGAGATTCCATTCCTTATGAGATTTATGGAGGAGGCAGATACTTTTTCATTTTATCGAGCCTCTGACAAGTTAGAATGAAAATTTCAGGACAACCTTCATCTCATATGAAATGGAACGAATATAAGATTCTGTTTATCACATAACTCAAACACTTTTGCAAGCATTTATAATAATAATGTTTTAGTAGACAACACCAAAATCTGAATTTGGCTATATTCTAACTCCACACATTAATCATTGATGTCACAATCAAAACAATGGTGACTTTCAGCTGTGTTAGGTGTTATTACATGTGTGGACATACTGAGATTTATACTGATTACAGGGTAGTTATGTGATGTATGTTATTACACTGATAACAAGGTAGTTATATGATGGGTTTTATCACACTGATAACAGGGTAGTTATATGATGGGTTTTATCACACTGATAACAGGGTAGTTATATGATGGGTTTTATCACACTGATAACAGGGTAGTTATGTGATGGATAACACTGGTAACAGGGTAGTTATGTGATGGGTGTTATTACACTGATAACAGGGGGGTTACATGATGGGTGTTATTACATTAAAAACAAGGTAGTTATGTGATGGATGTTATTACACTGGTAACAGGGTAGTTATGTGATGGGTGTTATTACACTGATAACAGGGAAGTTACATGATGGGTGTTATTACGCTGATAACAGGGGAGTTACATGATGGGTGCTATTACACTGATAACAGGGGAGTTATGTGATGGGTGTCATTACACTGATAATGTTGTATATGTGATGTGTTTTTACACTGATAATAGGAAAGTTATGTGATAAACTTGATTTCTCTTCTCTTCTCTTATTTTTATTGTTTTTGCAAAATAAAGAAAGAAAAAAACAGATCTGAACAAAGTTTACTTGAAATTGTTTATGATATTTTGTCTGTAGATAAGGCTATAGCATTGGTGGCTGGTGTTTGGCATGCTAGCCTTTTTGTTTGTGTGTAAAGTTGTCCTTTGTCTTGCAGATGTCAATATTTTTTGCCACAAACTAGTATTACATAAAGATGATAAGTCCATTGTTAACCTTCTTTGAGGTCATTACACTGATTTATCAACCTGATATGTCAGATTAGTTATTACAGAGGTTGGTAAAGCATTGTTTAGGCCTTGATGAAGGTTAATAATGTCTTATCATATGAGACCAGATGTACAAGATAAATAGTTTTTCTGAGCGGTATAGAAAATAGACTTTCTGAGCGACAGAAAAATCTTTCAGGGCCTTATAGAAAATAGACTTTCTGAGTGACAGAAAAAATCTTTCAGGGCCTTATAGAAAATAGACTTTCTGAGTGACAGAAAAAATCTTTCAGGGCCTTATAGAAAATAGGGTGTTTTCAGAAAATATTCAGAATCTAAAGGTTTCATATTGCCTTATCAATAATGCAGTGAATTGTAGTTTAAGGTAAATTTCATGAAATATTTTCTGAAATGAATGGACATGCATTCCACTACCATAAATATGAAAGGAAAAGACTAGCAAATACCTAGGAGAAAGAAAAGAAAAGAATGTCTACGATTTGATTCTCTGTGTACACAAATAATTGTACATTACTTAGTGCTATGTATATATATATAAGATGGAGTAAAATGATATTTTATTTTTTAAATCTAAGAATTTCAGAATGCACTATCAGGGGGTTAAGACCTTTTTTGAGGAGAAGACCTTATATCCATTCAGTATGATAATAATCTCTGGGTGCAAATAATTACAAATTCAATATTGATTTTCCAACTAATTCACATCATCATGTTTCAGGGAAGAAAAATGCACTTTTACAAACTGCCTGAAGACAAATATGGTCATTCTTGACCCACCATTGCCGAAGGAGATGACCCTGGAACAGTTATCTCAGATATGTTCAACATTTAAGCATGCCCAGAAGTTGTTTCCTTTGATGTCAAATACAGAAGATAAGATGAATTTCAGTGTTGTTGCCTTCCCCAATACTTTTAACAGTATGTATTTACTCTAATAGTCTATATCTTTAATTTCCACACATTTTATTTTCAGACTTTCATGAATACCAAGTTGGGTGATTTTGAATTATTTAGATTTTCTATTTAATCAGTAGGTGATTTTGGATTTTACCTTATGTATTTAGAAATTTTCTTCCTCAAATTAAAAATGTTATTTCTTACCCTTTTTTCAAAGTCAACGTATCTTATCAATTGGGAAAATACAGCAATTTGTTCTGCTTTTGGGAAAATATATTCTTTCTTATAAACCACAAAAATAACATCAATCGATCTTTGTCTTATGGTTATTTAGCTTCAATCAATGCTTTTACTGCTTTTTCATCCGGATAGACATTGGATCATATTAATTGATGTACTGGGATATTTTAATGATTTCTGAATGGATAAATATAAACACAAAATAGGGAGAATACAATTTATTTCTAGTGGAAGAGGCCTTTCTTTGGATATAAATGTTACCACATCTATTTATAAAGAAAATAGTTTGTTGAAGTAAAGGCCCAAGTATATACGGAATAGGTCGTTTGAGTTTTCGTAGCATCATCTGTTAACATTCTTGATAAATTGTAGTCCAGTTTCATTTACAGCAATGATGAAATATCATGTACAGCAATGATGAATTTACATGTTCACAATAATTTCAATATCAACGACATATAGAAAGAGCAGTTTGCTCATCCACATTTTAGTGCAATATCTGAAGTGCAGAAAGCACTAAAATAAGATTACCACAAAATTATGTATGTTTGCAGTATGTATGTTTTCCTGTCTTACATCTAGACCAGCATTAGATTTTGTATTACAGTGTAATGTTTAAATATTGCTTTATTTCAATGTGAGGAAATAATTTTGTAAACTCCTATAAATTAAAGTTTTCAAATTATATGATTAACTCACAGAAGAATATGTATACAAAAATATATGCTTTCAGTGTCATTGCTTCCGGGTGAAGATTTGGTGGTGAATGAGCTTAATGTAACAATCAGAAGTGGCTATATAGTAAGTTGGTGAAGGACTGAACAGGATCAGAAAAATTACAATTCCTCTATTTAATTAATGTAAATGATATACCTCAAATGCTGTTTTATAAGATAGGTTAGATGGAGAAACATAAAGAATAAACATCTGTAATTGAATATTCATCATTGATTTCTGTAAAATCTTGTTACACTGTACTGCTATTTTAATATTGGCATTATAAAGGGATATTGTCTGGTAAGTAGAGCAACCTTTACATAACAACATTAAGAGAGCTGACTTTGAGATATGTGGCATTAGGTGAAATGGCCCATAAGAGTGAGGGCATTATATTAAAGTGGCATTATATTAAAGTGGCATTATATTGAGGTTTTACTGTTTATGCAGACGACAGACTGGACTGTTCCCAACAGTATACTGATGTCTGATGTCATCATAATGGCAGGAATTCCTTCCAAGTACAGTCTGGAGGAACTAAAGGAAAAACTGCCCAATAGTGTGAAGAATGGGGTGGATAAGGTAACGACAAGGGTTGTGCTCTGTCTGGTGTGGTAATGCTGTGCAATAAATTATGATGGTCACTGCTTAAAAAATCCTTTCAATTTTTACTTAGTTTCACAAACCATGATTTTGATTAACAATTGTTATTTCAAATAAGAAAAAATTACATTGTACTTCTAAAAGTGATTGTTAGGCCCTTTGAGATGGTATGTTTTCCTGGTGTGGATTGGCTGATTGTGTTATAAGCCTGATTTTGATTGCCTGTTATGTTGTCATACTCAATTTGATTGGCTGTTGTAGATGGAGCTGCATAGTGAAGAGGGCTTGGTTGTGATGTATGTTCCACAACATGATGATTTCAATAGAATCCTGGCAGTAAGTTTTGTTATCTGTGAATTAATTTTTTTTGTTTTGTTTGTTTGTATTTTTTTCTCTTTCTGGTGTCAGTTGTAAGTTTCATTTGAGTATTCAATTTTTTATCTGCGTCATGAATTAGATGTTATTCTTTGCTGCAGGCTAATAATTTTACATTTGATGGGAAGGAGCCCACACTGAATGCAGCCAACCTGGTCTGGGACTTGAGAGATGTAAGTAGGAACGGTTCTTCATGATGTCCCCAGGTGTCACACCATTTTTAAAAGTTTTCAAAATTAAAAAAAATATTTCTTGAAATACCTTTTTAACAAAATAGTCTTTTGTATTTTGATTGTACACTGACTTCAGTTCCGAAGAAATGAAGATGTCTCTGCCAGCCGCTTCGAGGACAATGAGGAACTGAGGTATTCACTAAGATCCATTGACAGATTTGCCCCATGGGTCAGACACATCTATATCATTACCAATGGACAAATTCCCTACTGGCTCAACATGGAACATCATCGGATCACTGTGGTTACACATGAAGTAAGGAACGGATATCTTATTTTTAGCTTTCATCAATGATTGTCTTAAAAAATGATCAACTTATTCAAAACAATACCTAAACCCTTGCTTGAAATGTTGTAGTAGATGTGTTTCAAAAAGAGCACTTTTTTCATTGATATCTGTCTTATGGCATCCAAATATTAAGATAACAAAAAGCACAGATCTGATTCTGCTTGAATGTCGGGTATTACAATGGCTTTTATTAAGAAATATACTGTTTAATATCAGTGTTCTACAAGAGATCGTTTGCACAGAATTATCTATCTTCCAAATTTACAAAAAAAATATAAAACATTTCAATGCTGGCATTACTTTATTCATTTTCACAGGAGCTCTTCCCCAATAAAACTCACCTGCCAACCTTCAGCTCGCCAGCTATAGAGGCCCATGTCCACCGCATCCCTGGACTATCCAAACGCTTCATATACCTTAATGATGATGTCATGTTTGGCAAAGAGGTGTGGCCTGATGACTTCTACACCTTCAGTGGAGGTCAAAAGGTCAGATGGAATTTCACTTTGTGATGAATCCTCAATCAACATAATAATTATCATTCTGTCTGTCCATCTGTCAGTATGTCTTTTTTCTCAGTATGCATTAAGCCTTCTTTTGAGTCTGCAATATTTTTGCAAAATCCATCACTTGAGTGTCTCTTATAATAGCAGAATGTTGCCAGAATCGGGTCACTCCAAATTCCTTCTTCATTTACGAATTACTGTCATACAGGTATATTTAACTTGGCCCGTTCCAAATTGCCAAGATGGCTGCCCGACAACTTGGATTAAAGATGGCTACTGTGACAAAGCATGCAACAACACTGACTGTGAATGGGATGGTGGAGACTGTACAGGTAACCACACACAAACACGGGAACAATCAGTTTGACAGAATATCTAAAGATTGTTTCTATCTTACAGAATAAACACAGAGTAAGAAATATACATCATACTTGAATTCAAAAGACTGAAATGTAAACACCTGCCCTTTGTGATAAATATTTATTGGTAGAGATATGGGTGGGCTTATTACCAGACTCAGGCTTATTGCCAGATAAATATTATAAAGTTTATTAAACAAAATTTGTAGAATGATGTATGTTTTTTTTTATTTAGGTGACCATGTGAACCAAGCTGCTAACTGGCACGGTGGAAGTTGGCAGGGAGACACAGGAATAGGTATGTTAACAACACAGTAATGTTAGTGTCAATACTAAACCTGCATTATACATTACTTCTTACCCTGATTTAAAAAGAAAAAAACTAGTCCCTGTTTTACATATCTAGCAACATGAAGTAAATTTGAATATAAAAATTCTATATAAATTTAAATACAGTAATTCTAAGTAAATTTGTAAAAAAAAAATTCTGTCAGTTGTTAAAGAAATTCAATCTAAACTATTTCTATTGTTAACACAGATTTTTCTATGAAAAATTTGTGTATTGATTATACTTGTACTGTGATATGTAAATTTGTGTATTTTTCATAGACTACTGTTACCAAGGCTGTCCTAATACCTGGCTGGCAGATCGATACTGTGATACAGTAAGTAACACAGAGTATTTTGATATGTTAAGTTTGTGGCATTTTCCCAAAAACACCTCATTGAAATCTGTCATTTAGGGCAAATAGTTTTTTGTTGTGTTTGTTTATTTAAGTTGCCATATGTCCATTCACATGGATGTCTTCTGATATATATTTCTGTAAATATGCTGAATACAAAAAACAAAAATTAACCAGACATGTTCAGCCTAACAATGGAAAAAATTTAGGTCCACAGCATTTAGATATTTGTAAGGCAATAAACCACTGCCTTGAATCAAGCCCCTCGCTTGTAGCAGGATAGTCATGTAATATTGTGATAACTAATTGTGGTGTTTGGTAGTTGTTGATAGATAACTGGGATGATGTTGTTAGGTAGTTGAATGAAAAGTATAGTAATAGAGGATTGATATAATTTATCATTTTTCAGACATGCAATACTCTGGAGTGTGGATTTGACACTGGAGATTGTGGGATTGATAACTATAATCTACTGTATAGAGTTGACCTCCTGCCATCCACAACCAGTTACACAATCCCTAAAGGTCAGAGTTCATACCACATCAGATCTAAGGTCAAAGGACTGGTCCATAGATTACAAACACTCAGTTTGCTTCAGAAATTTCAGTGCCATAATATGAATACTTCATGAAAATTTTATTTCAGTTTTCACATTAATAATTTCCTGTAAGAAATATATAATCAATTTACCACTGATGTTTATTGTGAATATTTCGTATCAACTGAAAGGAAAACAACTGAAAATTAAAATCAATTCATCGTAGTCTGCTTTGTATGAAATTAAGTTACAATTTCCGTCCTTTTATGAGACCACTGGGGTATCATGTGGTCATTCCTATTTCCTATGAGGTTTGGTATCATTTAGCTCCATGTGTTTTGAATAATCCAACAAAAATAATTGTAGAAACAAAAATCAATATATTACATATTTTTGAAGTCCATGATTTTTATGCCTCACCATGTTGTGATGATGTTGTATGTATTGTGTTAACCATGTCCCTTCAATCTCTACTATCACGTCCTATCACATCCAGCTCTTTTGCTTGATAGTCCAGAATCGAGGTCATATCTTGAAATTTTCACAACAGATTTGGTTCCTATTTACCCGAGAGTATCATGATATCAATTTCTACATTTAATCAGATTCTGGTTTGCATAAAGATAGGGACATATATGTCTTATTGACATTTTCCAGTTGCTATTAAAGCTAACTTTTTAAAAAATTCTGCAATATACAGACTGTTCTCTGTTATTTTGACTTTCAGGTGAAACTGTTATCTACTTCAACCTAACTTCCTTGGTTGGCTTGAAGGGAACTATATATCGTGCAAGTTACAATCAATCAAGTGTGGTGAGAGCATCTGCTATTGGCAACAAATTTAGGGTCATGACCCTTATTCTACATCCAAAGCATAATAGAACCACAGTAACCTTCACCTTGAATGGTCACAGAGGTAACAGCAACGACACAGTAGAGGTAATTATTATACCATGACACTTGACATTCTGTAAGAGGAATGACACCAGGGCTCCCAACACTCACTTCTCGAAAGAAATAAAAATAATGAAAAAAGAAACAAAACGATACTTGATATGCTTTAGGTAAATTCTGTATAAAACCTTATGGACCAAAGATATTCTTTTTATCTGCAAAGTTGATTTTACAGAGAAATGAATTCTCATTTGCATTTTTATATTTGATTAAAGCCTTTAATCTAAAGACTTATCTAAATAAGTATTTATTATTATCATCAATAGCAAAATTAAATTTGATTGTTGTGATTTATTTTATTGTAAAGAATTGCTTCCTGGCTCTTTTTACTTTGCTTGTTAAGCTCAAGAATTAAAAAAGAGATATCTCTTACTGTCCAAACATATAAAATGTTGGATTCATTCATGATAAAGTTTTTAATTATCTCAATTTGGATCAAATGCATTGCATTTCTTTACAGTTTTAAATGTGCCAGCTTCCTATTAGCATGATTTGTTGAAATTTTGAATTTTATAATTTTATAATTTATTTGTTTATTACATTTCCATTTTCAGCTTATCTTTAATGTGACTGTTAACACTGATCCAGGAAAAAAGCAGGTCAGTGTTAATGAAACTCTTGAAATTGCAAAAGCAAACCAGACAAAAGGAAACATCAATGAGACCAAGAATACAGTCAGGGAAGTCAAACTCAAAGACATTCCAAAGGAATTGTGGTAAGTGTTACGATTCACAGCTAATTCAGTAGAAAAATGTAGTTTATATGGTATGAATAATTACAAAAGTGTTGCTTGGTTTATAAACTTAGGTAAGAATTTCCATGTATATAAATAATGCAAGGCTTCACCCAAACCAGAATTGTTTCCATCATAATGGCTAGAGAATAAAGAAAGAAGACTATCAAATTAAAATACACATATCCATAATTATTAAATCTTTTTATGAATTAAAACACCTGAAATATTGATGTTTCCATTATTTAATTGATAAAATCTAAACTTTTCACTATTTTCTTTCACATTTACAACAATTTGTAATCAAATATATTACATAATGGATGAATGGCTAAATGGGTGAACATTTTTTCTCTCTATTTTGTTTTTGATACTGTATTATAGGCATCCGAAACCGAAGGCTTCAGAAAATGAGTTATCAGATCTTCCACCTCACGTGAACTTATCAGCCATTGAACTTCCCCAGCCTTTGGCGATAGAATTGAACAACTCTAGACAACAGCTGATGGATGGTATGGTATCCATAACACTAACCATGGGGCTTACTTTTGTGAAATTGACTTTCTGAAAATCAATAATGAAAATACTGCTATGTCAACAGAATTTGAATTCAAACTCCGATTTGATGAATCTTGGGCAAAATATATATTTTAAAAAAGGTTAACTTAGAGACCCCTGAAAAAGTACAGGGAGAATAAGACCAGGTGTTCTGGAAGGATAAGTATCTTCTTCATCAGTGACACCCACCATGTAAATCTTGGTCAAGCCAAGTAAGTTATGTCTTATTCTCAAATAAGAACATGGTAAACAACATATCTAATAGGTATACTAACAAGCATCAAAACCCTCCAACTTCATGTCACACAAGGAAATAAAACATTTCCTGATGAACTTAATCCTTTTGAATGTTTAACTCTGAAACAAGGATAGACTAAAGCAAAATGATAGATATCATTAATATAAGCAAAAAATATCAAGGTACATTGAACCATATTTATCTGTAATGCTATTAGTCCATGTAGGATAGTGTACTCCATGACAGTTTTAGAAAAATATGTTGAATTCTTTGAATTTACTTATTCTGGATAAATACATTTGGTGCACTATTTTGAAGTGACAATACCATATCTTACCACCAGAAGAAAGTTAGATCTATATAAATTAACATGACAATACCAGTATTTATTGTAAAGTATGGTGGTTAATTCTAATTGTCCACAAGAGTTATCAGCTAACTCATGTTACACAAATCAATACTTAGAGCGAGGTAGTTAAATTTTTAAAAATCCACTCAACCACAGAATTGGAAATAAATCACTTGATTTCCTGTCTTGTTTTAACACGAGAACCATTTAATTCCATCAAACCAAATGGTAGAACATACATGGAATTTGAACTCAGTTATTTGTATTGTTGATACCTAACAGAATATTATTTTTATCTATTTAAGGTGAACTGACAGAAAAGGGATTTATAATCCAGCAGCAGATTATCTGGCAAAAATTCCAGATTTTACAACGACAAAATCATGGCGATCAAAACAACATTCAGAAACCTGTTATTGAAGAATCGAAAAATAAGATAGGACAACGAAAATTACTTGGTCTGACCAGATCTTCTGTTGTCATGGAAATGGATCAAAATGGCTACCTCATGGAACTTGATGATCACCAGATTGAAAAAGAACATCTTAGAAGCATTATTATCAATGATAAACCATCTGATGTTGAGAGTCATCTCCCTTGGGAAAAAGATGGAGTCTTTAACAAGATCCAAATGGTTTGTGCTCACTTCATTTTAAAAAAAAAAATTCCATGTGTTACTCATCAACCAAAATGGGTTTCCTCCAAGTTGAATTCTTGTTGAAATCAATCACATTTATTACCTCACAAGATCGAAATTAGAATCTTCCTTAAAAAATGTATTTTAAACTTGTTTTTAAATTTGTAAATTAATTACTAATGATGTAATGGCATTCATGTAGAATTATTCACTGCCTTAGTGAATTTGTTGGTGAATGCTGGCTTCCATGTTGAAGAGCAATTACTTTAAACCAACACTTTTTTTAAATATTGTATTAAAAGGTATTACTTAAAACAAACTGAATTACAAAGGGTATTTAAATGGGACAGAATGTGTTAAAGTATATTGTACTGTTATCTGTAAGTTGATATGAACATTAAACATAGAATAGTTTCATGCTTGTGTGATCTATGTTATATACTGTTTACTGAGAGCATTTCCAAAGTATTTGTCTTTCTTCTGTTACCAAGAGTATGGCCAGTGACACAGAAGACAATATTATACATCATATATATGACTCTCTCATGATTATTCCCAGGAGAAAGAGAAGTTGAAGCGATCACAGCAATTCCCTGTTACCCAAAGACGAGGGCGCCGCCTGTTGGACACATTTGGTGACTCTCTTCGCCATGTCAACAAACTATTTAACAAGGCATTCGGGTATACAGCACGGAAAGTTCCCGGCCACATGCCTCATATGATTGACAAGGATATAATGAATGAACTACAGGACATGTACGTTGGTTGTTTTATCTGTGTAAAAGTGTTGGATGCCATTATCATAACTTGCTAGCTAGTCATCATTCGTAATGCGACTATACAATGATACTGTAACATATTTCAAATCTACAAATCACAAAGTCTGTTGGCTATTTAGAGTAGAATTTCATTTTTAACTCCAAAAATAATTGAAATGATTTTATTTTTTAGAGAATTACCTATCCATATTATACATCAATACTTATTATATGTGGATGCTTAGTGCTGAATTTGCCTTCTACATAAATGTCACAAAAAAGGTCCTGTCTTTAAATGAATCTTTATGGATGTATAAAAGGTCTTAAGGTGGTTTAGGGACTAAATCCCACTTATGTTTTTACTGGTAAAATACATTTACTCTTTGTGGTTAGTATGATTTTGTTGAATATCTCTCTTGTCATTCAGGTTTCCAGAGGAATGGGCTGTGACATCGTCACACAAGATCCGTAGTTCTGATGATATGCAGTTTGCCTTCTCCTTTTATTACTACCTGATGGGGGTCAAAAAGGATGTCACCATAGGGCAAGTCTTTGATGAAATGGACACAGATAAATCTAGGTACAGATTGTTGATCATTTTGTCTTGAGATCTTCAGTACAGTGAATATTAAAGTGGTTTAATTACATAGACATGGCTAAACACAATTATTCTCCAGAAATTGATTACATTACAAAAATTACTAAAATTAATTTCTTTTTGCCCTTCTAGTTTAAGCTTGCAAAACCAATGCTAGGACATATTCAGATAAAAATCTTATATCTGGTATAGTTGAATCCGCCAAGCAAAAGGCAGTTTATTGTCAAAGTTTTGTTATCTGGATCATTTTAGGGTTTTGTCAGACAGGGAAATCCGAACATTTGCTACCAGGCTGTTTGACCTGCCTCTAAGCCTTCCTGTGAGTATGACTACTGTTGTTCTACAAACTTTACTATGTATTAATACAGTTACTGACTGATAATGAGGACGATAATGAGTGTATTAACCTCTTTGAACTTCGTCTTTCTTACAAGTGTAACCCTGTCAGCACCATGGTGCTACTGACTGATAACTGCACTTCTTTTACCAAGAGTTTATAAGTTGTTAACTTCACCTTCCCATCACTTCCAATGTAACAATCACTGACTGATAGTGAAATCACAATAGATGTATCAACTCCACATGACCTGACCTCCCTTTGACATACCTGCTACTGCAACCAAAATCTTTCCACACAATATACAGCTTCCAGTAATTTTAACATTGGTCAGGTAAACCTTTTGTAGGAGTGGTGTTTTATCTACCTTTTGTAGGAGTGGTGTTTTATCTACCTTTTGTAGGAGTGGTGTTTTATCTACCTTTTGTAGGAGTGGTGTTTTATCTACCTTTTGTAGGAGTGGCGTTTTATCTACCTTTTGTAGGAGTGGTGTTTTATCTACCTTTTGTAGGAGGGGTGTTTTATCTACCTTTTGTAGGAGTGGTGTTTTATCTACCTTTTGTAGGAGTGGTGTTTTATCTACCTTTTGTAGGAGTGGTGTTTTATCTACCTTTTGTAGGAGTGGTGTTTTATCTACCTTTTGTAGGAGGGGTGTTTTATCTACCTTTTGTAGGAGTGGTGTTTTATCTACCTTTTGTAGGAGTGGCGTTTTATCTACCTTTTGTAGGAGTGGTGTTTTATCTACCTTTTGTAGGAGTGGTGTTTTATCTACCTTTTGTAGGAGTGGTGTTTTATCTACCTTTTGTAGGAGTGGTGTTTTATCTACCTTTTGTAGGAGTGGTGTTTTACCTAGAGCTAGCCAATCCCAAATTCATTGGTTGACAAAATTGTTGCTCTAAGAGCCCAAGCATATGAAAATTTTTCAAAATATTTTTCAGATGCTTGTGAAGATAGAAGACATGATGAGAAATTGCTCCAAACACCTACCAGAAGATGTTATCCGAGAGTACCCTCCAGTTCCCGAGGAGACATATTATGAGGAAGGCATGGTAATGTTGTTATGTCATCGCTGAAGACTTTGATGAGTATTTTATAAGTCACACCAGAGATTGTCACTATTCTTCTTTTGCTTTAAAAAAGCTTCAATGATAGTTTTCGTGTAATGATGTAATTATCATCAAAAGTTTGACTTTAGCCATAATTTTACTTCAACTGCAATACTGATCATAGATTTAAACCCATGACACCTGGCATACAAGTCTGTCGCTCTACTAATCAAGCTAGAGAGAAATTGCCTCTTTAAAGCTGGAAGGTGCCTTTATTCCTATCTACAATTAAAACCTGCCACACTGTTACCCTCGTCTTATGTGTGTGCCCCCAACACCACATCAACCAAAGTTTTCTAACTCTGACGAAGCCTCTCAGTCTCCTCTAGCTTGGGTTGGTCTATGGTATCAAATATAAGAGGAAAGGAATAGTGGTGTGTCTCCACTGCTGATCAAACTCACAAACCATGGCTTGCATGAATATGTCTTTCTGTCTATCGAGCTTTGGGGAAATTCACCCCAGCGTGATGCTAGAAGGCAACAGTAATTCTATGTACTATTAAAACATCTATTAAAACTGCCATCACCTGGTTTCACAAACAAACTCAAGATTGTATTTTATCATATTTTATATAAACTTGTTTGTTTATTTGTTTCACAGCCTCAGGTGACTAGAAACTTGTTCATACATTGTGAGCCAATGATTGAACTTGTTCACAAAAATTTCAAGCCAGTGAACAAGTATAGGTAAGGCCACATTTTGATGTTTTTATTTTAATATAAATACATTGAAAGTGAGTGTGTTTTGTTCACTAATGTCAGAAAAAATATAATATAAAAGAGAAGTGTATATAGTGCATTTATATCCATACTTTCAATTTGCCCTCTGCTTTCTCATTTTATCTTAAATAGTCTTCAGTTATCTTTACAAAACAAGGCAGAATTCAAGAATATTGATTTTGTTAAATATTTCTTTAGCTGTACAGTTGAACCTGTGTACTTTACAGGTTAAGTTTTTGGGGAGGAACTACAATTCATTGGTCACTTTAGCCTGGTAAAATAACCAATAAAAAAGATTGCTCTAGGATATTTTTTACTTTTAATAAGAACTGTTTTTGTCTGTTTTCACATACAATAATTTAAGGTGCAGAAGAACTTAAATTTGAATTTTTCTTCTCTGTCTGATTTAGTTTTACATTGATGGATGATACAGAAATTGCATTTAAGATGATAAAAAGTAATATTTCCACCGTTGTTGGACAATTAGACGACATTCGTAAACACCCTAAGTAAGTATACTTCTCACACATCCATCACTAAATAACCATTCAGTTACTGATAATGCTTTTTTTGATAGAAGTTGAAATATTTTGAGACTTTTCTAAACTGATTAAAACATAGAAAAAGGTGATGTATCTTTTATAAATTTTACAGTAAATGAATACATTCTGTTCTTCATTGAACACAGACGCCTCAAGTCACCAAAGAGACCACAAGTTAGACATAATATCTGACTTATTTTGGTGGCTGAAATTTTGTAATTGACCAGAAAAATTTGCTCAAACCTGATGTAGGAATATGTATGCATATTCTACAGCATTTTCATTCTTTCCTGTTTGTTGTTGCCTGGCTTTTTCACTAACTGCTCAGCAGTTGAGTGATAGCAGTTATGCAAGTAATATGAAAAAGTGGAAAGGAAAATGCTACCCTGATTACGAAACCACATTAGTATTTCAGTATAGGCCTCTTGTTAATTAATGATGTCATATACACAGCTGTTACTAATGATTTCTTTAGTTAAGCCAGTGCTTGTTTCCTAAGTTTATTCCCCTGTAAGATTGTGAATAACTGTATTAGACAGCAGTATGCATTAGTAGTGTAGATATAGACATTGTCTAGTGTTGGCATTGTTGACAACTTGAATAACTGTATTAGACAGCAGTATGCATTAGTAGTGTAGATATAGACGTTGTCTAGTCTTGGCATTGTTGACACCTTGAATAACTGTATTAGACAGCAGTATGCATTAGTAGTGTAGATATAGACATTGTCTAGTCTCGGCATTGTTGACAACTTGAATAACTGTATTAGACAGCAGTATGCATTAGTAGTGTAGATATAGACATTGTCTAGTCTCGGCATTGTTGACAACTTGAATAACTGTATTAGACAGCAGTATGCATTAGTAGTGTAGATATAGACATTGTCTAGTGTTGGCATTGTTGACAACTTGAATAACTGTATTAGACAGCAGTATGCATTAGTAGTGTAGATATAGACATTGTCTAGTGTTGGCATTGTTGACAACTTGAATAACTGTATTAGACAGCAGTATGCATTAGTAGTGTAGATATAGACATTGTATTGTATTAGACAGCAGTATGCATTAGTAGTGTAGACAGAATAACTGTATTAGACAGCAGTATGCATTAGTAGTGTAGATATAGACATTGTCTAGTGTTGGCATTGTTGACAACTTGAATAACTGTATTAGACAGCAGTATGCATTAGTAGTGTAGATATAGACATTGTCTAGTGTTGGCATTGTTTATAGACATTGTCTAGTCTCGGCATTGTTGACAACTTGAATAACTGTATTAGACAGCAGTATGCATTAGTAGTGTAGATAAAGACATTGTCTAGTGTTGACATTGTTGACAACTTGAATAACTGTATTAGACAGCAGTATGCATTAGTAGTGTAGATATAGACATTGTCTAGTGTTGGCATTGTTGACACCTTGAATAACTGTATTAGACAGCAGTATGCATTAGTAGTGTAGATATAGACATTGTCTAGTCTCGGCATTGTTGACAACTTGAATAACTGTATTAGACAGCAGTATGCATTAGTAGTGTAGATATAGACGTCTAGTCTTGACATTGTTGACACCTTGAATAACTGTATTAGACAGCAGTATGCATTAGTAGTGTAGATATAGACGTTGTCTAGTGTTGGCATTGTTGACACCTTGAATAACTGTATTAGACAGCAGTATGCATTAGTAATGTAGATATAGACGTTGTCTAGTGTTGGCATTGTTGACAACTTGAATAACTGTATTAGACAGCAGTATGCATTAGTAGTGTAGATATAGACGTTGTCTAGTGTTGGCATTGTTGACAACTTGAATAACTGTATTAGACAGCAGTATGCATTAGTAGTGTAGATATAGACGTTGTCTAGTCTTGACATTGTTGACACCTTGAATAACTGTATTAGACAGCAGTATGCATTAGTAGTGTAGATATAGACATTTTATTGTTAATATTTTTTCTGACAAATTCATGACTTTTTCCAGAAAATTCATTTGTTTAAATGACAACATTGACCATAACAAGGAGGACGCCAAAACAGTGAGTACATCCTATGAAAATTGATTCAGAAACAGTAGACTTTACAGAACAGTATATTTTGTTTCTTAACTCTCTTAACATCATCAGTAACCTATGGTCAGTTGTACTGATGGTACGTAATGAGCCTGCCTTGGGTTACAGACTGTGCTCTGCGAGTGCTCTAGATCATTTTCCCTATATAACAACTGCTACATCGTACAATGTTTAGGTTGATTCACTTTGTTATTTTTTATTTCACAGTCTTTATTTTATGATTTTTCAACAGGTTAAAGCAATACTCCAAGATTTCTATGAAGCTGTGTTTCCTATACCATCACAGTTTGAACTTCCACGAGAGTACAGGAACCGCTTCCTTCATACTGATGACCTAAGGGAATGGTAGGTTACACAACATTTTCTTCTCTAATAATTTTCTTATGTTTTAATTTCATTTTGTCCAGATTTTCGTTTCCACATGATAAGTTTTGAAGTGGTCACATGTTTTTCTTCAGTTTATACCATAGTAATTATAAAGTAAGTTGTTTTCTTTCTTAACCAGATAGAAACACCACTAAATATCTTGGTATTGAAATTATAAATAGTACATGAACTAGGCATTTTAAGAGATTGAAATATACATTTGCTTACATGTACATAAAACACCAAAATATTTCTATTCAGAGAAAAAAATTGTGACTGACAACACTTGAATGCTATGAATTTTCAGGAGGAAATACAGAGACTGGCTCAAGTTTTGGACACACTTAGCCTTAGCTGTGTTGGTCATCTTTACTGTGGCATCTTTTTTTGCAGAAAAGGTTGGTTGATATACTTATCACTATGAAAATACTTGATTTTTACACAATGCATTTAGATGCCGTACAGTAGTTCAAAATCACCTGACGTTTTTGATTGAGACCAGTTTTGATAGCTTTCCTGAAAAGACAAGATTGATCCCGTAATAGGTTTACATCACCAGAAGTGGTATTTATCCTATTTCATGTAATTTATATTTACAGTGATATATGTGAAATGGTATGAAAATATGTTTAGAAGCGTTGTTCATTCTATACATGGTATGATTACAGAAACATTTTTGATAAAGAATGAATATCTGATAATCAACAAACAAATTTTCATGCTGCATTTTAATCTTTATTTTACAAAGGTTGTTATTTTCATTATTGGTAACAATTCTTCATCCTTAATAGATTGAAGCAGCGCAAAGGAGATTTTTTGGACGACGTCGTCCAAAGGCAACATCATCAACAGCAGAGACCGATACGAGTGAGACGAGCGAGACTTCAAGCCGATCTCAGGGTGCCGTGGAGACTGTTTGACGGTTACTGCTCTGGATAATCACACCCGATATTCTACTGTCTGTCCTTGTCCTCCTTCTGTTAGTCATTGTAGTAATGATGGTGGGTGAATCATACAAATTCTGAAATCCTAGATATTTAGTCTGGGTGTAGAAATGTTTCTCTTCACCATTTTTCCTGATAAAGTGTAATTTGCCAGGTTTTAGGAGAAAAATTAAATAATCATTGTTTTACAAGAATTTGAAACACATATTGTATACTACACACTTCTTCTACGCAATTTTTCTTTTGTAAATGTATCTAGATATATATGTTTTAACTGGGTAAGTGTCATTATTGTAATTGATCAAATATATTGGCTGATTTTTTTTGTAATGTTTTGTTTGTGATGGTTTATTTATTCAGTAAGACAACAGGTTTTAGAATGTAATCAACATCAACAAAATTACTGCAAACATTAACAAATGTATTTATTTATAGATTAATAAACAATATGTTTTCCTGTTTGGTGTCTTCCAAAGATAATCATAGTTGAAATTGCAACTTCTGAAAAAAGTACAGTAATTTTTTCATGAAACCATGGCGTTATATGAATGATTATTTGGGGCTGTTACAGGACATGTTTAGAAGTGACCATTTCTACACTATAGACTGATATATGTTGTTAGTGATTATTCAGAGCCATGATTAATGAATCATTCGTCATCATTTGACTGTTTTAGCAGGTTAAAATGAGATAGACTGTTTTATGATGTGTGTGATTATTCAGAGCTGTTTGTTAGGGTTATTCCAGTAAAATATCATTCCCACCCCCAAATACCTATGTTTTGTTTACAGACACTACACATACAATTTAATGAACAATTTGCTATCTATAGGCAGGAAACCGAACCATAGATAGAAATGATTATTTTTGGGGTCCTGGGGTCAGTTTGATGTTTTACTGAAATAGCAGTTATTATTTTCCTACATTTTTAAATATAACAACATTTACTTAGCTACTGTGTCGAACAATGTATACATGTAAAATGTTCTCAAGAGGTCAAAATGACTTTCCTAAAATCAGAATTTGTCAAAGTGTCCAAAAAGATCAATGGAGAAACTAGAGATTTCAGACACAAAAGGTCTTCATTATTTTGTGGACAAAAATATCCTTTATACTGTAATTACATTGTTTTTATAATTATTTTGAATCACCAGTCTCACTCTAATTCTATTACCAATCTTTATTTTGAACCTATATTTTTATGTGAAGTGATCTCTCAAAAAAACAAAACTGTGGGATTCACATATGACATAGGTAGTTGGTAGTGCTGTCTGGAGAGTCCTTTTGAAAATGTACTTATGATAAATGCTGTCCTCACTTCCGCACATACAAATTTACATGTACCCATTTTGTTCTGGGAGTTGGCAGCTTGCTTTTCAGAATAGAGTTTTGTTTAAAGGTATATTGTCAGTGCTGCTAACTCACCTGTATTTTACTGGCAAAATGACCATGTCTTGTCAAGTCCATATACAGGCTTCATTTCCCTGATATCTTACGTTTTAGATCAGAATTGGAAATATTGAAATCAATACCTAAAAATTGAACCAAAATCACAAAGGGCATAGAATATAATATATGAACTATAGTTTGAACTCATACAAATGTGATTGCTTTATTCCAAATCTGAAATTTGAAAAAAAGGCATTTTACTCAATGCAAACATCCTTTTACCCTCGTTTACAAAATAATGTGATTTCAAGCCTCCAGTCATTTGGTAGGAAGCATATCATGTTTCCCTTGTCCGTCCGACTCATAGTATCCAGTTACATTGCATCAAGTCCCGTCCCATTCCAAATCAATGTCTTATCATGCGAACATCTCGACAGATTTGATGCATAGTATCACAACATTAATTTCTACATGTGATCCGGTTCTTGTTTGCATATGAGCAGGGGAATTCATGTCTGGAAGACATTTTCTAGTTATCCCTTTGAGTTGGTGACTCTGTATTAAGTATTGCAATAAATATAGCTAACATATTCTTATTTACATCAGTCGATTGTTTTTAAGTTCCAGGCAAAATATTTAGTGACAAGACTGCTGATAACATGCAAAAGTATGATAGTTTTGTATGTGTAGATATACATTTTATGCTCAACATTGAAATAAAAAAGTTAAATTAGATATTTGTACATATATTATGATAAATGATGGTATATAAAACATTTGTAGCAGATGTAACATGTGATAATTCTGGCATTGTGTACCAGATTAAAAGTAGCTGAATGTTTGTACATGTTGTCTGTTTGGAGTACACATGTACTTTGATATATTTGTGTCTTGTGGTTGAAACTGAATTTGGGTATATTTATGTATATGAATTCTAAGATAGAAATCTATTTTGCATTGTACTTGAAATTGAAAATACAAAATGTATGATGTATGCTTGTATGTGGAGTTTATGAACAAACAGAAGTGTTGATGAGGATACAAGGTTGAAAATAATTGTTTGTAGCTGTTTTATTTCTAGAACATATGTTTTCACATTTATTTGACTATTTTAGCAGTTGGTATTATGGATTAAGTTTATGTTTAATTTGAACACAAATTGTTTAAACATTTTTTACTTATATTTACACTTTATTAGTGTATTTATACAATGTTTTCCCATTTGTTTTCTTTCCTTATTTCTGTTTGTGAAGTTTCTGAATCAGCAGCAAGGAGAAAGTTTGAGTTTTGAAGATAGAAATAATATTCTTATATATCAGGACCAGTTGTTTAACCATAATGAGAGTTATTCAACTCTTCAAGGCTGAGAAGAATAACCACTCATCCTAAGTTGCTAGAAAGTTAAATTCATTTCAACTGGTAGGAGGTACATATTTTTATACTTCCATCTTTTGAGTTGGAATTGGTAGAGTTAATCTTCCACCTCTTATAGGAAGGCAATTCAACTCATCAGAATTAGAAGTTATTTCAACTCTTTTTGGAAGAAGGGGGTTTTAACTCATCAGAATTAGCTCATATCAAAGGAGAGGGGCATTAACTCATCAGATCTGGGAGAGTTATTTCAACTCTTTTTGGAAGAAGGGGGTTTTAACTCATCAGAATTAGCTCATATCAAAGGAGAGGGGAATTAACTCATCAGATTTTGGAGAGTTATTTTTACTTGTCTTAAAGAATGGTTTTGACTCATCAGAATTAGGAGAATTATTTCTACTCATCTTCAATGAAGGGATTTTAACTCCTCAGAATTGGGATTTTTATTTCTACTCATATTAAAAGAGAGGAGAATTAACTTATCAGAATTGGGAGAGCTATTTGACACAGTTTAATTTCACTTGCCAGAGTTGAGAAAATTAGTTTACTCCTCAGAGTAGGGACAGTTATTTGATTAAATTGAGTTACGAGATTTATTGGACTGATTTAATGTCCTACATTTGTTTTGTAGTGTTATATTATGTAATGTATTATGTAATGTTAGAATTTTCTAGATGAGTGCTGCGGGTTTGTATAGTGGGTGTAATAAAGTGCCATGTGATATAATTATGTACATAATTGTCTGAATCATACTTTATAATTGTTTCTTAAATTATTGCTAGTGACGTGTCTATTACTCATAACATGTGTCAAAGTTTGATTTAGTTCCAAGTGGTGATGCAATACAACAGATAGCAAATAGATATGATTTTTCTCAGGTCTGTCAGAAATCCAATAGAATCGTGAATTCGTTTTTGGAAGAAATTGTCTCTGTATGTATCTTTAGTTTTATTTTTGGTTTTTGCAACGTAATAATAGAATTTGAATTAAATTAGTGTTTTTGTGTTAGGATGATTCGCGATTCCCTTTTTTTTCTCTTTTCTTAAGAAAATGGTATTGCTATAACTATATTTATTGGAAATACAGCTTTGCTAGCTGTAATAAGATATTGACTTCATTCTTTGTTGCCTTTGGATTAATTTACATCATATCTAGGATAATCAAATCATTGTTAAGGCAAACTTCATAAACTTGTATGTTAAAGATGATGGAGGAAATACATGTTTCCTTCTGTATGTTAACTGTACTTAAAGTACATAAAATATGTCTTGACTGTAAATGTATTAGTGTATTAGTATAGAAATCCTTTATGAGATTCACTCAGTTGATTGTGATCTATAACCTCATTCAAGATTGGACCTCCTAGAGGCATCATGGGGAAGATGAACAGGCTGTGAAAAGACACCATTATCATGTTGTGCAGTTTCTAACAGAATAGTGACAGGAAACAAAACTAAAAACAGAGAAAGATATTCAATAAGTTAAGACGAAGATTTGTGTAAAGTAAATGCATAGTATCAAAGTATAAATTAGATCAATTGTGTATCAAGACAATCAACTTTAAAGTCATTAAGTAAGTGATGAACATTTCATGAATGTTTATTTTTACAGTCCTGCTATACTCATACTTAGATAATTTTGTTTACTATTTTTTGATTGTATAATCCTGTACTTTCAGTAATGGTTTAGGTAACCAGGTTTATTTTCAGAATTAATGTTAATTGGTTATTGGTAATATACATATGTACCTGTGTATTCTTGCGTTTGATTTAGACTAAATATATCCAAGGGGATTTATATCTATGATATCAGCTACACATACATATATTAATTCAAAGAAACTTTGGTGTTGAACCAGGATTATGACCAGCCATTCTGTAAAACATTCCATTAAAAAAGACTCATTCCTTGATTAACTGTGTTGTTTTATCATTATAAATGCAATAGTTTCACTCCTTGTGTTTGTAACTTAATAGCCTTTCCTGAAGGTTATAGCCCCTTTATCTCACCAATAACGGTGTGAATAATTATTTTCTGTTACCCTGCTGACTAACTTATATATACATGTTATCGCAATGCTTTCCTTTGTTGATACACCATAGTTATGAAACAAGAGGTCCCAGAAGGATCTTGGCACCCACCATTGTTTGATTTGTTTTGTTGCTCTCTGAAAGTTGGAATTTTTCCCTTCTTTCCTCTTCTTTGTTTTTGCTCTTATGATAAGAAATTTGAAAATTCATCTGCAGAAATAGATGAATTCTTTACCTGCCAAATCCAATATGGTCATCTGGAAGCCATTTTGTTTCTTCTGATCAGTTCCAAAATCAAACGGGCACAAGTAGAGACCAAAGGGAACATATGTATGAAAAATTTGAGAGAGATCCATTCAGTACTTCTTGAAAAATAGGGATAACAATCTTTACTATGCAAAATCCAAGATGACTGTCAGCCATTTTGTTTTTCCAATCAGTCCCAAAATCATACAGGCGCAAGAAGGGACCAAGAGGAG